TACATAAAACAGCGTTTTAATTACGAATTTAAGTACAAGAAAAATGTGTTGGATTTGGTTTAATAATTCTATAAATTTGTTCATCAAATTGGTGCTAAAAAGGTGACAGGGACAATTTGTGGTAAATTGTAGCAAATAATTGTAGTAAACTTATTATGTAAAAAACTTACATAATTTATTTGACATTTGAATATTTTATCTAATCGGCTCATATAATTTGTGTAGGTAAATGAGTATTTTAGAGACTTTTTTAATATAATATTTTGTGCTGAAACTGCACAAATTGTGGCACATAATAACACAACATTGTTTAATAATAATTTCTCCAATTTATTTAAAAAATTTAATAATTTTTGGGATCCGAGGGTAATAAAAAGGAAAATGAAACTAAATTAATAATTTTGATACCTATGTATTCAGCGACTTATACAAAAAATATGGAAAATAGAATACCTCAACTTAATATAAACTGACACTGACAACATAAAATAAACATAACAAAACATAAACTCCAAACTAAAAAATAAAATTCGTATAGCTAATTCTAATAATATTGGGATATAATTCTACATGAAGAGCGTCTCCACTTATAATAGTACAAATGTCGAGAGTATTATAAAACCAGTACCTATAAGATCAATTAAGCATTAAGAAATTTAAAGATTACATTAAATTAAAAGAATAAGGCCTTTAAGAACTTTTAGTTTATCTTAAGGTAACTTTAAAACCAATATATTGGTTTTAAAGTTATATATACCTATCGTTTATAATATAAATCAAAATTATCTTACAATTGTAACTTGGATCGTTCGAAAAATTGTAAATAATAACAAATTATTCAATTTTAACAATTAATAAAAATACAATCGAAAATTCTTAAAAAATGCAAGGTTATTATAAGAAGGTTGAATTTTTAAGTCAAATCAAACCTGTTTTGGATGCAAAACCTTAAAAAATATTGTTTTGTAAACATTTATAAAAAACAATTTGATAATTTATTTAGAGTTTGTGTTATTTTCTCGCGGTTGTTAATATTTCATAATAAAAAAAAATTAGGGTCTATTGTGAATAAAATATATTCCCATAAATTATGTATAAAGTTAAAAATATTTGTCAAGAATTGCCAACGATAGAAAATTAGTCCGAAGTATAGAATAATGAAGGTATTCTTTAAACATTCAAACCATTTTTAAATAAATATTATAGGTAGACAGTTTGTCTATTATATATAATATATTGATAAAATGGAAATTTTAACAATTTGCAACATTTAATATAACTAGACGAACTTGAAAGTTATCTGGATAAAATATCCATTAGGAACTATCATTTAAATAAAATATGTTTAAAATTTGAGAAAATTATTTGGGTGCAGTGCCACTTTTTATTTCTATATGCAAATTTTATAGTAGAAATGTTATTTTTTAAACAGGTTTTTAATTTGCAACAAATATTAATATTTAAATTGACTCCTAAGAATAAAGGCAATGCTAATTTTTTCAAAAAAAAAACTGAAGCTTTTTAATTATATTTTATTTTAAAGTTATTTGTGCAATACGTTTAATAGAATTTTATATAAAAAATAACCACAATTCAAGATCTATTTGTGTTACTTTTATTTAGCAATTGAAACTGACAAGTACAAGGATAATAAAAAAGATTTTTTGTTGAAAACGATTTAATTAAGTTAATGTTGTTATTTTATTATTTAAATTATTTAACATGTGGACTCTCTTAAAATAAAATAGAAAAAATTGTACTATTTGATATAGTACCAGCATTTTTTCTAATAAAATAGTCGTTTTCACTTTTAAATATTTTTTCAAGCTCAAAACAGCAAACAAAAATATATTCAATTTAATTAGTTATACATTATACGATATACCTATACAGTGTCCAAAGTTATTAGCCTAAAATGGTGAAAATATTCTGTTTTTCTAAGAATTGAACGTCGAGTTTCCAAAATATTCACAAAAATAACATTTTCTTTAAATGAACCCTGTATATTTTTACATGTTTAATTTGGAACAAAAAATTATAATTGAATTTTTGTAAGTTTTTATAAATCTGATAAAAAATCCACCAAAAACTCTCTAAAAATGAATTAGTCAAAAATGACTAATTTAATAGTTATTAGTGGCTGGTTTTTACTTGTACCATGCTTAACCATGGAATACCATTGTTATGTAAAATTGTCCCCTGAATCCGAAAATGTCGTCAAAAGTTAAAAAAAAGTAGAACAGTTTTTGAAATATATATAATTAAAATAGATAAAATTAAATATTTAGTTAATTTTCCATTTAATTTGGAATTTACTATATCGCAAAAACTGCTCCACTTTTATAATTTTGAACGGTATTTTCGGATTCAGGGGACAATTTTTACATAAGATTTGGCTGTTAAATTTTGGGATACCATGGTATTCCATGGTTAACCATGGTACAAGTGAAAAAGCAGCCACTAATAACTATTAAATTAGTAATTTTTGACTAATTCATTTTTACAGAGAAGATACACATTCCATTGGGATTTAAATTGTTCAATAAAGCCTACATTTGCTTTTATGACAAAAAATCCAAAATAATAAAAATGAAGAGGTATTTTCTTTATTTAATTGAAAAAGCTTAAAATTAAAGTATTTTGATTATTGTTTTGGAAAATAATTTTTAAAAAAGTATAATAAACTAGAAAAAGCATTAGTTGTTAGAATTATTTTCTGTTCCAAAGTTTTTTTGCAAATGTTTTTAGGACATAAAAATGGTTTTATTTGATATTTAATGGTTTAATTTTATATATTTATATAACGATAAATTGTAATATATAATAATAAAAATTATTTTAAAAAATAAAACTATTAAATAGTTTTTAAAGAACTAATGTCATAAGACGTCATTTTGTCGCACGCGGACAATTTATTGCGAAAAAAGGTCTTATGACATGAGTTCTTTGTGCTATTTTATCTATTTTGCAAAAATTCTATAAAAAAAATTAATTTTATACCTTAAATTTAATTTGGTTGAATTTTTCTTTAGATAGTTGGTATCACAGTCATTGGTTTGACAGTTAATGTCAAAATCGATTCGCCATGCCGTCCTTAATTTACTTATTTACAATAAACGGCTGTTAATGTTAAAGAAGAAAAAAAGGATTTTTTTTGGTGTTAAACAAAATGTATTGCCAGAAGTCGAGTAAAATCATAAAAATATTATAACCAATAAACAAAATATTATGCTGTTTAAAGTATAGCCAACCTATAAAATCAAAATTTTGGGTGGGATAAAGTATCTCATTACAGCTCCGAAAGTGGTGTTATAATGAAGTCATTATGAACGCAATATATTATATATTATAGTATATTATGTATCAAGTTTGATAAACGCCATTTTATACACGAATTTAATTTAGGCACGAGCGAGCTTGCGAGCGAGTGCTTAAGTTAATGAGTGTATAGAAAAGTTTATAAACGAGGTGCATACTATATTTTTTCTACGACAAATACTTATTATTATCCTAAAATGATTTAAATCAAAAATTTGTATATATACAAATAGAGCGCCATCTATGAAACATCAGGGGAAACTGTCAAATGTCACATTTTTACATTTTATAAACACAATTATAAAGGTTATAAATCGAAATTTATCTTGAAAAATGACAGTTTTTTACAGTGAAAGTAAAGGAAATGTTTTATGAGGACTTTACAGTAGAGTCCGTGCCCGAATTTAAGTTATAGTTTACTGCCGGCGAAATTAAAAGGTCAGTACAATGTTCATATAAACTTTTCAAATATTGTCGTTGAGAAACTATTAATTATTTTTGTATTTTTGTATTGAGATAATAAAATAATTTTCACATTTAGTATTATTTTACAAGAAAGGCACTTTATTTTAACGATTGTATGACATTTGACAACTGTTAACTAACTTAAAACTAACTTCAGCCCGTGACTAAAAACCGGTTACTAACTTCAGCCCGTGACTAAAGCGCCATAAAGCCACAACTTGTCAATGTGTATTTAAAAGGTCACTTAGTGTCATGGAAACATGTACGATAAAGGACGTTTTAAAGGTGGGAGTAGAAAAAAGTATTTTTTTAGTACTTTTAAATGACAATTTTCATGAACTTTCCAATGAAGTATTACTAAGAGGGTGTTGTCATTTAAAAAATGAATTGGGGTGGTTACAGCACCAAATATCATAGAAACAGTTTTGAGAAAATTTTGATATCTTTTTTAGGTCCAAACTTTTAGACCATTGCTCGTTTTTAGCACCCTGTATATTAATACAACGAAAATACATGTTGCATACGGTATTTTTTCATATATTATATCACGAGAACTATGAATTTAATCGGTTAAACTAGGCTCAGTACTTTTTTTTTTTGTTTTTGTTGGAAAATGTGGAATGCAGAATAATTTAATAAAATCACGAGACCGCGTAGCGGTCGAGGGGTTTTATTTTTAATTATTTTGCATGAAACTATTTTCCAAAAAGAAAAATCAAATAAAAAACTTACTGAGCATAGTTTGACAGATTAAATTTATAGGTTGAGTGATATACGTCTAGATTATTTCTCGAATTAAAGGAAACTATTTGACAATTCATAAAATCTGACGGATGTGTCAAAATTTATAAATATTTTTTTAAAGAAAATTCCATTAATTTAAGGTATGTAATAAGTAATAATTGATATTTCGTAAACTAGATAACTTATTTTTTATTGTTTTTTAAAAAATGTTTGTTAAAACTTGTAAATAACACCATAAAATCGTAAACAAAAATCCAATATGGAGGCTAAAATTTAATGGCAGTTAAATAGGTCCAGTGATTTAATTGCTTATTTAAACGAAATTTATTCGAAAATTCAAGGCTTTTGATTGGTTCATATTATAATGAGGGAAATAATCAATTTTAATAAAACATAACAAATATAATATTTATTGCTAAAACAAATTTTAATTATTAAATTTTACAAATTTATAAAAAAACTGCTTATTTTAGGAATTCTTCCTGACGCCATTAGAACCAACTGCATCAGATGCACGGAAAAACAAAAGACGGTCACCCTTCGCACAATCAAACGTCTAATGAAAGAGTACCCGAAAATCTGGAGCCAACTCGCCACCATCTGGGACCCAAAAGGAATCTACGTTCCGAAATTCATCCGAACGTTCGATATCCACGGATTACCTCTACCAACTCAACCATCTCCAACTGAAGCAGCTGTGTTTGTAATAGGCAACAGGTTCGGGGATACCGAAGAAAACGAAGTAGCATCGGTGCCCACCACAACTGTCAAATATATCGCCCCCCCTCAGAGCACCTCCAAAACTGTCAACGCCATATCTAACACCTCCAAACCCACAAAAACTACAACTACCACAACTCCTCCTCCGCGTCCAGTATCCACCACTACCACTACTAACAAACCGACAAAAAAACCCGCCACGACTGGATTTGTTAACCCTAATGTTCGTCATACGGTGAGTCTGGGTACTAACTTGGTAGGGAGGGTGGGGGGTTTAGTTAGGGAGCTGGGTAACCTCGGGGTCAGAGTTATCGGCACCGGGGTGCAGATCACGGAAATGGTCCTAAAGAATGTGCAAGCTGCTGTTAGAATATAATCTAGTGAATCAAAAGTCCAGAATATAATTAGTGGTTTTAAATGCATTTTTAAGATATATCTATATTAGACTGGGCCAAAAAAATCAACTATTTTTTTTTTGAAAAGTATAATATACTTTTCAAAAAAAAAATATTATGGACTCAAACTTTCACCATAATTTTATTTGTCACCCCAAACAATATTTTTGATATTATCAAAAATATTGTTTGGGGTGACAAATAAAATTATGGTGAAAGTTTGAGTCCATAATATTAATATTAAGAGGTCTATCATCGCAATTTTAGATTTTTTTTTCCTGAGCGAGTTTTTGTCTCATTGAGTTGACTAGAGAATATTTTTTGAAGAAAATTGAATGTTCTACAGAAAAGGTTTGATTTGAATTTCCCTTCAGATGAACCGTTTTCTTACAATCATGCCTTAAAAATTGGTATAGTTTTACAATTTGATCTTTTTACTTTGGAATTTTGTAATTCATGTAAAAATCAGTACCCGGAAAAGTTATTCATATAGTATATCACGAGAACTATGAATTTAATGGGTTAAAGTAGGCTCAGTAGTTTTTTGTTTGGTTTTTGTTGGAAAATGTTGAATGCAAAATAATTTAATAAAATCACGAGGCCGCGTAGCGGTCGAGGGGTTTTATTTTTAATTATTTTGCATGAAACTATTTTCCTAAAAGAAAAATCAAATAAAAAACTTACTGAGCATAGTTTGACAGATTAAATATATAGGTTGAGTGATATACGTCTAGATTATTTCTCGAATTAAAGGAAACTATTTGACAATTCATAAAATCTGACGTATGTGTCAAAATTTATAAATATTTTTTTAAAGAAAATTCCATTAATTTAAGGTATGTAATAAGTAATAATTGATATTTCGTAAACTAGATAACTTATTTTTTATTGTTTTTTAAAAAATGTTTGTTAAAACTTGTAAATAACACCATAAAATCGTAAACAAAAATCAAATATGGAGGCTTAAATTTAATCGCTGTTAAATAGTTCTAGTGATTTAATCGCTTATTTAAACGAAATTTATTCGAAAATTCAAGGCTTTTGATTGGTTCATATTATAATGAGGGAAATAATCAAGGTTAAATTTGAAGTCAAAACGAAATTCTTGTTTTTTCCGCTCTAGATTTTTTTTTGGTCAGTTAAAAACTTGAATTCTTTTATCGATGATAATCTTTATGTTATTCATAAAATTACTGAAAATTAAAAAGTTTTTTCGTTTTAAGAAGCTATTTTCTTTAGAAAATATTATTTTTACAGTTTAAATAATAACAATCATGTTGTTTTTTTATTGGAAATTGTTAATTAGTTATATAATACACATTTATAAAGAAAAAAAAATCAAATTATCACCCATAAAAAATATATCTACAGAGGAAAATACATTTCGTTTTAACTTCAACTTTATCCTTCAATAACTTTTGATTGAGTGAATTTAGCCAAAAATGTTAAGAGGCTTTTTTTGTAAAGCATTTGATTTCCCATAAGAATATTTATCGGTTTTTTATGGGTACTGATTTTTACATGAATTACAAAATTCCAAAATTAAAAGATCAAAATGTAAAACTATACCAATTTTTAAGGCATGATTTTAAGGAAACAGTTCATCTGACGGAAAATTTCATTTCAACTTTTTTTGTAGAGCATTTAATTTTCTTAAAAAAATATTTCTGAGTCAATTTTGTTAAACTCAATAGTTTGGGAGTTCTGAGACAAAAAAAAATTTAAAATTGCGATGAGAGACCTCTTAATATTAATATTATGGACTCAAACTTTCACAATAATTTGTTTTTGTCAACCCAAACCATATTTTCGATATACTTTTCAAAAAAAAAATAGTTTTTTTGGCGGATGATTCTACAAAAGTTGGGCAACTTTTAACCTCATTTTGTTTATATAGTTTTTGGAGAAAATTAAACAGTATTTTGTTATGAGAACATAGATAATATAATAAATATACTGTTCCAGACCGGGCCAGTCACTTTTTCAAACAGTTTCTGAAACATCTGTGTTTTCTAAATTTGAATGCAAGGGAAGTGACGAATATACCAGGCTACTAAAAATATAAGATTTATTGCAACTTTGAGCATATTATACATTAAATATTTTAAAATCAAATAATACCACACATCAGTGGCGGCTATCTCATTTATTAGATATGGGACCCAACAAGTTCTGCGCAAGCAGAATTTAAATTGAAGTTTGCGAAAACAAGATAACCGAAACATTGAACATAGAACTGATGAATGGGATACAAATTTGAAATTATAATTAATTAAGTATTTTACTGATATTTTTTATTAGTGGATGCTACTTATCAACAAATCACATATAGCCTTATATAAATTACAATGAAATATATATACGTAACAAAATAACTACTCTCCACAGTACTGAAATTTTGACTGGCACTATACGTGCATTCACCACAACTTCGCCGCTTGCATTGTTTTCAAGATGACTGTTGTGCAAAGGGCGGGCTCTGTAGGTGATTTTTTTCCAACACTTGAGTTTACACGAGGCCTTGACGTTTAAACTTCAATATTTCGCAGGAATTTTGAATTTTAACATTGGACACAGAACTGACAGGTAAAAGTGAGTACAAAGATTATAATTTTTTTTTTTAAATTGCTATTATTTGAATCTATAATAAAATATAAAAAATCCAATATTTAATGTTTTATAGTTTGTAGTGAAATTAAAAAATTTAAGAAAAATTGAATATATTTTAAAATAAAATCACTCAAATATTTTATTCAGGAGTTATTTATTATGTTTTCCTACAAACGTGCTTTTGAAAAAATACATTAAGATTGGGTGGACGTTAAAAAAACCTGGATCTTTTGTAATATACTAAAATATTTACAAAAAATATTAAAATACCTACTCTATACTATGACATTAAGTTGTCCAACTTTTGTAGAATCACCCATATAGTCAATTCCATATTATATAGAAAATTGACTTAATCTCAAAAACTGTTTTCGTATTATGTGGACAATTTTACATAAGAATTCGCTATTATATCGGGGATACCATGATATCCCATGGCATACCATGCTATTCCATGGTATACCATGGTATAAATGCAAAAGCAGCCACTAATAACTGTAGTAATTAGTCATTTTTGACTAATTTATTTTTAGAAGGTAAATTATTGCTTTGTTGCCTCTGGTAACAAACTGTTTTAATGTGTTTGGCTGTAGTGCTTGGTATTTATTGAATTTAATGCTGCTAATTGAAATACATTTCTACGAGCAGACTAATTAATTACTTTACTGCATATGACAATTTGGAAAGGTATATCTGTTGAATTCCTTAAAAAATATATCTTTTACAGACTATTCCACTCATTACTTTATGGACCAATTAGACTTTAGAAAATGAGTGGTTTAATACTACTATTTATTTTAGACAATAAAAGAGTGGACTTATTCAGCTCGTTGAAAATGTTGTAAAGTGTGAACCAAGCTGTGAACAATTTCATGAATAATTTAAAATAAATAGATTTATTACCGACCATAAGAAGCAAATTTTAAGTTTTTATTTTTAATATAGATTTTAACTTTCCAAACTTATTTATATAACTTTTACATCCAAATGCAGAACAAACCACCATTGTATTTTATTATTGAAAGCGACGTTTTTATTTCCTTTTAAAGCAAAAACACACAAAACAAACTTGCACAGTTGACACTGACAGTACGGTTCACACAACAATCACAAATTAATGCTTAGGTTAAGTATACTTCAACAACATTTTTTCATCACCCGCAAAAAATATTTTAATTACTGGGTGATTCCATATAAGATTGGTTGTGTGAAATATACCCACATGAATTTATAAAATAATTCTTCTTAAATTTGACATAAGTATTCATTTTTACAATTTTTAAACGATGCAATAAGATATGAAATAAACCATGTTGTAAATTGACCAAGTAATCTTATTTTGACCAGTAAAAAAGTTATGCATTTAACACCCTGTAATTCTGGACACTCGTTTAAGTTAACTTTAAAATATTTGAAACAATTTGATTTGAACAATGAAATGGTAAGCTAAAACATTAAATTTTGACTAAAACGAATGCAGCCTTAATTTAATTTAACTAACTTTTTGTGACTAACACATCACATCCATCATTAAATAAATAAATTAATAAATCATCAGCTAATTAATCTTTTTTAGGAAAACTTAATCCGCTCAATCGTTCGGGAAATATACATGTTCAAACTTCGGTATTTTAATACAATTTTGAAAGGACGGTAGATGAAGGGGACGAGTTCCTCTTTGGTAGAAGCTTGGTGGTAGTTGACGAAAAAAAGAGAACCTGAACTGAATAGAAGATAAGGAACGGTTGGTACCTAATCTTGGTTTATGAAATAGAGCTGAGCTTAATTAATAATATTTATTTGTTAGCTGAATTAGATGCTTTTAGAAGCAATATTTATTAGGGTGACTGATTTAACACTTGTTTGTTTTTAATATTTTGGCACTTTGGTTAATGAATAATTTTAGTAGCCAAAATTCACTTTTTTTGTTGATTCCTGACTAACATTTAATTAATTCACTGCTTGATATTTAATTTTTAATAAATTCGTATCTTATAGATAAAAAACCTTGCCATTTATTGTTAATTTTTATACAATTGTCTAAATGTTGCATAATACCCATGTGATATTTGTTTTAAATTAAAACATAAAATATTGATAATTGAGTTTTATTTTTTATATTTCTGCATCATTTGATAAAAACTAAATACCTAGATCAAAAATCACAACATTCCAGGACAGCACTAAAGTATTTTTTCTACTCCCACCTTTAAAACGCCCTTTATCGTACATGTTTCCATGACACTAAGTGACACATTGACAAGTTGTGGCTTTATGGCGCTTTAGTCACGGGCTGAAGTTAGCAACAAGTTTTTAGTCACGGGCTGAAGTTAGTTGACAGTTGTCAAATGTCATACAATCGCTAAAATAAATTGCCTTTCTTGTAAAATAATACTAAATGTGAAAATTATTTTATTATCTTAATACTAAAATATTAGTTTCTCAATGCCAATATTTGAAGTTTTAATTTCGCCGGCAGTAAACTATAACTTAAATTCGGGCACGGCTACTGTAAAGTCCTCATAAAACATTTTCTTTACTTTCACTGTGAAAAACTGTCAATTTTCAAAAAATACATTTCGATTTATAACCTTTATAATTGTGTTTATAAAATATCAAAATTTGACATTTGACGGTTTCCCCTATTGTTTCATAGATGGCGCTCTATACAAATTTTTGATTTAAATCATTTTAAGTTAATAAAAAGTATTTGTCGTAGAAAAAGTATAGTATGCACCTTGTTTATAAACTTTTCTATACACTCATTAATTTAAGCACTCGCTCGCAAGCTCGCTCGTGCCTAAATTAAATTCGTGTATAAAATGGCGTTTATCAAACTTGATACATAATATACTATTATCTCCAGTCTTAAAAAATCAAATCTTTATCACACTCTTTGAAAAGATGTTTGGGTTTATGCGAGTTATCACATAATTATTCTTAGAACCATATTACTTTAATAAAAAGCTTTATTAGCCACAACAAAACCGAATTTTAAAACCATAATGCCTATTACACTTGTAAATTTAACTTATAAAACCATAATAATCTAAATGAATAGCGTTAAAAGTATAATAAAATTAACATAATTGAAAAAATAACAAATTGATTCAGTTTAAAACTAAATCTAGAAATAGAGATTATAGATTAGAAATAAGATTAGGTATATTGTATTGTTCTGTAAATATAAAAGCGCTGCTACTTATTAAAAGATAAGTCCCGATCAGCTAATGTAAAGTAAGTTTAGATTGATAAAACTCATAAGCATGGCTTAAATGAAGTAAACGCAACTAAATCAAACTGAGTTAATACGGATTAAAAACCAGATAGAAAAATAGTGGGTTCAATCACTAGGCAACCCTTGTTACGTTTAAGACATCTTTTTGGGAGCTATCAATAATTATCGAATTTAGTGAATTATAGTATCTTGAAGTTGGTATTAATTGCAAAAACCCAATGCCTAGTAAAAATCCCCGCTAAATTTGTTCCAGCCCTTTCAAATAGCCAAGTTTTCGAGTAAAGTAAAGGGTAACGCCTTCTTCCTTAAGAACTATCTAACCGCGTAGCTTAAAGCCAATAACCCTTCGTCCTTTTAGGTTGGTATTAGATTTTATGACCTTTGAACCAGTCAATTTTCTATGACCCTTGCGGGGGGGAGTTACCATAATTTTAACCAATGGTCTTTAAGAATTAATCCCTTCCAATTTTCCCTTCAGCTCTTCAGAAAATATCAGGCCTTCAAAATAGTCCCCATTGGATATTATGCACATGTGCCAGCTCTTCTTCCAATACTCGAAACACTTCTAAAACTCGATCTTTGGGATAGCCTTTAGTTCTTTCAGCGATGCGCTTTTAATGTCATCTATGCCTGCAAAACGACGGCCCTTTAAGGTTCTCTTTATTTTTGGGAATAGGAAAAAGTCAGACAGAGGCATGTCTGGCGAATATGGAGGCTGGGGCATCATTACAGTATTGTTTTTGGCCAAAAATGTTGTTCAAAATTTAACAATTTTAGAACAAATTTTGCTGCCACGCGTTTCATACCCAAAACATTCGAAAAAATTTCATGGGATAGCCAATCGATATACCAACATCATCAGCGACTTCTCTGATGGTTTATAACCATTTCTTCCACTTTTTCCATGTTTTTATCGGTTGTTAATGCGCTTGTGCGTTCGGGGCGTTCGTCCTCTTCAACGTCTTCAACGTCTTCAAGGCCATCTTGGAAACTCTTATATCACTTGTAAACTCTTGTTTTACTTATAGCAGACTCACTATAGGCCTTTGTTAACATTTCACAGAATTTATTTCATTTTTTAAGCAAAATTGGATACAAATTCATTGATCCATTTCTTTCGAACGAACGAAAATCGCCGAGCTCATAAAACACGTCTAACCTTAGCGGCTGCCACAGACAAAGTAAACAATGAAAACAGCTAAAGTTTTTATCATACTTCGGGGGCATATATACCAACATAATAAAGAAAATTTTATGACAACTGGACCCTCTGAACCCGCGAAATTTAACAATTCCCGTTATTTTCTGAACACACCTCGTATATGTATTGTATGTAATATAAGGTATGTATAGTAATTATTGTATTTTAAACCAATTTTGTTTAGATTAGATTTACTCTGATAGTTTATTTTATTCATTTTATTTTTTTAAATGTTACATTTTCTTTTAGTTTACGTTTAGTCAAAATTCTTAATCTAGAGTTCTAGTCTGTTTTGTAAACTAGCTCTCTTTGATTAAATACCCGGATTAACTTTAATTCAAATCCACCCAATGCCTCCAAAGAATGACAATTTATTAGGTATTTACCAAATATATTATTTTCACCCACCTTAATATTCTTTCCCTAGGCCTCCACAAGCTATTATTGTGTTAAACTTTAATAATAGGCAATAAATTCTAAGAATTTTCTAAAATTAATATGCATGCCATAATGCAATTGCTCCCATATGCAAACAAACGCCAATTGCATAACACGAAAAACAATTTAAATTCATAAGCGATCCCACATAAAACACATTGTTGTATAATTATTTTAAGTAAGTATATTTTTAATAATTAAACGACTAACGCTTATCTTTTGAGAACGTTTGTCAACAATAATTTACTCATAAACAATAGATTTTCTTTGTGTTGTGGAAATGTATTTCTATAATTGTTTATACAGGGCTTTCAATTAAGAACTACCCACCCTTAATAACTTTTTGCTTTTGCTTTTGCTTTTCGAAACGTTTAAGCAGTTATATGCTAACATTCTTAAATTATTCTTTGTTTGTTCTCAGGTGGTGTTTAGTACACCTGTGTTTTTAAATGTCCTCAAAAAAATCAAGCGGCGTTAAATCTGGAGATCTTGCTGGCCATTTTTAAGCACCTCTTTTACCAATTCATTTCTCGGGAAACCTTTGGTTTAACCATTCTCTGACTGGTAAAGCATAGTGAGGAGGAGCTTCATCTTATTACAAGTACAAATGTGCTTCATCAAGCAACATCTTTTCTGGTTTGTCCACTTGATTTTCTAATGATTGGGTTATTCGAGGTGTGTTCAGAAAATAACGGGAATTGTTAAATTTCGCGGGTTCAGCGGGTCCGGTTGTCATAAAATTTTCTTTATTATGTTGGTATAGATGCCATCGAAGTATGATAAAAACTTTAGCTGTTTTCATTCTTCACTTTGTCTGTGGGAGCCGCTAAGGTTAGACGTGTTTTATGAGCTCTGCGATTTTTCGTTCGTTAAAAGAAATGGATCAAAGAATTTGTATCCAATTTTGCTTAAAAAATGAAATAAATTCTGTAAAATGTTAACAAAGGCCTATAGTGAGTCTGCTATAAGTAAAACAAGAGTTAACAAGTGTTATAAGAGTTTCCAAGATGGCCGTGAAGACGTTGAAGATGACGAACGCCCCGAACGCTCAAGCACATTAACAACCGATAAAAACATGGAAAAAGTGGAAGAAATGGTTATAAACCATCAGAGAAGTCGCTGATGACTTTGGTATATCGATTGGCTCATCCCATGAAATTTTTTCGAATGTTTTGGGTATGAAACGCGTGGCAGCAAAATTTGTTCTAAAATTGTTAAATTTTGAACAACATTTTTGGCCAAAAACAATACTGTAATGATGCCCCAGCCTCTATATTCGCCAGACATGCCTCTGTCTGACTTTTTCCTATTTCCAAAAATAAAGAGAACCTTAAAGGGTCGTCGTTTTGCAAGCATAGATGACATTAAAAGCGCATCGCTGGAAGAACTAAAGGCTATCCCAAAGATCGAGTTTTAGAAGTGTTTCGAGTATTGGAAGAAGAACTGGCACATGTGCTTAATATCCTATGGGGACTATTTTGAAGGCGACAACATTAATGTAGACGAATAAATAAATTTATAAGTTTATACAATTTTCAAGAAGATCAAGATATAATTGTCCAGTCAAGTTTTCTTCGATTAAAATTGGTCAAATTATGCATTGATTTTTTGATGTGGATTTAGAAAAATGTAGATTCATCCCTGAAACAAATATTTTTTAATAAATGAGTTTTATATAGGTTTCTAAAAACATATACTTTAATAATCATTAATGATTAATTGTTATTCATCATCATATCAAAATTGGTATCTTTCACCGATTTGCATTTGCAAAAGTACCTACCAATTTCTTTAAAAGCATGCTTGAAGGCATTGCAAAATATTCTTATAAAAAATTTACCATTTATCTTATTAATTATCCATATAAGAGCAATTAAACTTTCTTTATTTTTAATTGAGTATACTTTTGTTGGCTTTCTATAAAACTGAATTAAACGTAAACATAATTTTGGCAACACTCCTTCAATGTCGTGGTTATCAAAAATTATGCAGATTTTTTATAGTGAATTTCCTGTTTGTCTATTTTAAATAAATAATTTATATTTTAATATTTATTACAAATTAAGCATAAAATTAAACAATTATTTAGCATTCTTACGCCATCCTATTCTTCTTATTGTTTGTTTAAAAATGTATTTAAATACAATTTATTTAATCTTGTAAATAATATCTACCTAATTAATGTTTTAGAGTGTTTTCAAAATAAACGTAATTCTATAGAATTAAGTTTATTTTGAATTTTATTATTTATAAATAAAAAACAATTTCTAAACTACATAACAATAACAATTTTATTATAAAAATAAAGAAAAAATTATTAAAACAAATTACAGATTACAAAAAATGTGAATTTCTCTAAAAATAAACTAATAAAAATTATTTATTTAATTTATTTAATAAGAATTTTTATATTTTTTCTTAAATTCTTATTTACCGTAAAGTTTATTCTAAGAGAAATTCACTTTTTTTGTTATTTGTTTAACATTTCGTACTTTAAATTTGTAAGCTTTATGAAATACGAGATTAAATTTTAAATTTTTTAAATTTTAAAATTGTAATAAGTGTTAGGTATAAGTTTTCACTTTAGAAATCGATACACTCTTTATTTTGTTTATTATGCTATAGTAAATTATGATTCTCATCTGGCCGACTACTAAGCAAGTTTTGGTACAGTCCTATTTTAAAAATATTCTCTAAACGCGAAAATCGCACTTACATTTTTTAATGGAAGCGTTTTCGAGATATGAATTTTAAATTGTTTTTTTTTTAATTTTCTGAGGTGTTTTGACGTTTTAGGGTATACTTAGAGTTCTAATTGATCGATTTGGCCAAACAAGCACTTAACTCAAAGGTAATTGAGCCCTCTACAACTTTCTCTTGTATAGTTTTGGTATCGGCTCAGTAGTTCGATACTGGCGATTTTATGAAGTTAAAAAGGTCCTTTTTTTTACAAAAATCGAGGTCGACATATTACATATCTTTCTGGGAAAAATAGAATTCTTAAAGATAAGTCCAGTTTGATTTATTTTACGTATAGATTATACTTAAAGGAAAAAAATAAGCTGCTGTTGATAAAAATCCATGGATAAATGGCGAAGTTATGAAGTTTTCAGTGGAAGACCAAAATTCAGTTTTTCGAGAATTTTTACGTTTTTTGTTGCTTTCGTATTCCGTTTCTTGTATGAGGGACCAAATGTAATCACCCATCATGGCTCCATCCCAGAAGCCGTGATACCGCCGCTCCATAGCCTTCATTTGCTGGTGAAAACGTTCTCCTAGCTCATCACTCACATCATTCATGAATGACGGAAAAAAAATGTTGTGGAAAGTACTACAATTGTAGAATTTTCTGGTATAAATTGTTTAAAAAATACGACCAAGAACAATTTGTTAGCAATAATTTAACAATTTTGTAATAAAAATAAACAACAATTTATTAAAGATATAATTATATATTGTAGTTAAATTACTACAATTTCTTTTTTAAATTAATATTGTTATATATTTTAATAAAATATTGTATTGACTAATGCCATTCTTTATTAAAAATAATACAGATTTGCCGTGCTCCAAAATTGTGTACTTTAAATAAATTATACGTTGATATAAATGCTTTAAGTTTTAGTTAATTTCAAAACAATTGTATTAAATAATTAAACATTTTTTTTACAATATGGTTTGTTGTAAAATTTAATTTAATTTTTTTTCCGTGTACTTCGCCCAGATTGTGCGGGTTATTTACGCACTCGAACTCTCTACTTCTTTTATTCATTTTACACTTTTTATTAACTAAATAAAACCATGATAAAAATACCTTATTGAAATATCAAAAAATATCAGTTAAATGTGACTATGCCCAGTGGGCATTGCCCACACTAGAAACAAAAGAATTCACGTTTGCGGAGTCATGTCAAGTTTAAATTTTGAATAATGTTTTTGGTGAAAAAAGTACGTAAAAAACTCAAAAAATTCCAATCATGCACTTTATTTAGGTTTTCATTAAAGAATTAACATATTAAAAAATAAAAGAAGAAATATAAAATAAAAATCGTCAAAAAGCTGAATTTTGGTCTTCCACTAAAAAATTCATAACTTCGTCATTTTTCCATGTATTTTTATCAACAATATCCTGTTTTTTTTTGTAAAAATGTCAGCTTCACGAAAAAAAAATTAAACTGGAGTTATTTGTTTGATTTAAACCTTTCCCAGGACAATTTGTGAATTTTCGACCTCAATTTTTTTAAGTTATTAAATTCCCTAGCGTCAAAATACTTAGTATGTAAAAGAAAGTTTTAGAAGGCTCAAATACCTTCAAATTAAGGGCTTGTTTGACCAAATCGATCAATTAGATTTCAAGCTATACGTATATACTCTTTGAAAAGAAATAATAAAAATTTAAAATGGTATAAAATCTGTATAATTTGGATTTTTTTAATAAAATTTGAAATTTGTCGATAAACTATGGTAAATAATAAATTGCACCAATTAATTTTATATTATATTTATTGGGGGCGCCATGCGGCCGAGAAAAAGTTATCTTTTTTACGCAAACTTTACATTCTACTTTTTCTTTTTCTTTGAATTTTAAATATCTTTTCAATTGCTCAAGTACTTACGTATCCAGAACTGTATACACAACAAAAAGGGGTCCTAAATTAATTTCTGTAAACTAGACGAAAACGTGTTTTGGCCAAAGGTAGTTTTTTGTGGTTTTAATTTTTTTTTAAATATTAACGTGCCCGTTCGTTACAGTAATGACTGACTTTCATAGAAATAAAAACTATTTGCTGTTGATTCCTAGAACAGTGCTTGACCTGAAACCAACTTGAATATTGCGTAACCTACTAGGTAAGATTGAACTTTTAATGACATTAAATTAAACAAACAAATCATGTGGAAGAGGAATCCATCCATCCAAGAAATACATGGAATCGTTCGAACTGGTCAGTGGAACTTCCACCGCATCGCCATCGGCCAAAGACCGCAGTAAAATCACTTTTGCTGCGGCCCGAATGTGGGTCACGTCAACAGGTTATCAACAACAAATTTCTTATGGTCGTCACGTGACACTCTCACTTTCCACGCCAGCCCCCTGCGGTGGACGCCCTCCTACCTATATAGTGAAAATACCAGTGCCTTCGAGAGCATTGCTCTTCTTTCTATGACAATGAAGCCCGTCAGTGCTGTGATATTCTGCGCCTTTTTGGCCGCGGTCAGTGCCCAACAGTACACCTCAAAGTACGACAATGTGGACGTGGACAAGATTTTGAAAAACGACAGGGTGCTAAACAACTACATCAAATGCATGATGGACGAAGGTCCATGCACTTCCGAAGGAAGAGAACTTAAAAGTAAGTTTGCTTGTGATAACATTGTTATGAATTACATTCTAAGTAACATAACGTTAAATTTACTTCATGCCTGGTTAATAAATATATTTACAATATTAAATTAACCTTAAATTTACGTTATGTTAGTTAAATCTTGTACTTTTTGGTTGAAAAGAAGTTTATATTACCCTTTTTAACTACTTTTAAACTCTTAAGTCAACTTAAACTATAATTATACGGTTTAAGTTTATTTTAACCATATATAATTATAATTTACCACAAATGGTTTTGTATACGAGGTGTGTTCAGAAAATAACGGGAATTGTTAAATTTTGCGGCTTCGGAGGGTCCGGTTGTCATAAAATTTTATTTATTATGTTGGTGTACATGCCCCCGAAGTATGATTAAAACTTTAGCTGTTTTTATTGTTTACTTTGTCTGTGGCAGCCGCTAAGGTTAGACGTGTTTTATGAGCTCGGCGATTTTCGTTCTTTAAAAGAAATGGTCTTTGATCCATTTGTATCCAATTTTGCTTAAAAAATGAAATAAATTCTGTGAAATGTTTACAAAGGCCTATAGTGAGTCTGCTATGAAATTTTTTCAAATGTTTTGGGTTTGAAACGCGTGGCAGCAAAATTTGTTCCAAAATTGTTAAATTTTGAAGAAAATTTTCGGCCAAAAACAATACTGTAATGATGCCCCAGCCTTCATATTCGCCAGACATGCCTCTGTCTGACTTTTTCCTATTCCCAAAAATAAAGAGAACCTTAAAGGGCCGCCGTTTTGCAAGCATAGATGACATTAAAAGCGCATCGCTGAAAGAACTAAAGGCTATCTCAAAGATCGAGTTTTAGAAGTGTTTCGAGTATTGGAAGAAGAGCTGGCACATGTGCATAATATCCAATGGGGACTATTTTGAAGGCGACAACATTAATGTAGACGAATAAATAAATATTTGTTTCAAAAAACGAAAATTCCCGATATTTTCTGAACACACCTCGTATAGAGATATGTACGAGTACCTAAAATATTTACTCGTAAGTAAACTTGTAAAGAGAGGTACGGTTACGAGTGGTAATCGTGAAAACACGAGTAAAGAGTACGAGTACTTTTGAAAAAAAAATGTTAGTTAATATAATTGATTATTCTTTACTCTCTAAAAATGGATTAGTCAAAAATGACTAATTGTCATAGCAAAAAAGCAGCCACTAATAATTCTCGCCAATAGCAATTTGTATTTTTAACATTTAGCAGTCAATTTCCATGTAAAATTGAAAACGCGTCAAAAATTAAAAAGTAGAAAAGTTTTTGAGATATAGTCCATTTTCCATATAATATGGAATTGACTATATCTCAAAAACTGCTAATTTATTTTTAGAGTGTACATTATACATACTTTGGTCCTGAGCTATACAAATACAAATTTATAAAATTATTTATTTTATACATTATGTACATTAGACTGGGCCAAAAAAATCAACTATTTTTTTTTGAAAAGTATATCGAAAATATGGTTTGGGGTGACAAAAAAAAATTATTGTGAAAGTTTGAGTCCATAATATTAATATTAAGAGGTCTATCATCGCAATTTTAATTTTTTTTCCTCAGCAAGTTTTTGTCTCAGAACTCCCAAACCATTGAGTTTAACAAATGCGAAAACATTTTTTGAAGAAAATTGAATTCTCTACAAAAAAGATTAAAACGAAATTTTCTGTCAGATGAACCGTTTCCTTAAAATCATGCCTTAAAAATTGTTATAGTTTTACATTTTGATCTTTTAATTTTGTATTTCATGTAAAAATCAGTACCCAGAAAAAAAGCGATGAATAATCTTATGGGAAATCAAATGCTTTACAAAAAAAGCCTCTTAACATTTTTGGCTAAATTCACTCAATCAAAAGTTATTCAAGGTTAAATTTGAAGTCAAAACGAAATTTTAACCCTGAATAACTTTTGATTGTGAATTTTGCCAAAAATGTTGAGAGGCTTTTTTTGTAAAGCATTTAATTTCCCATATGGATATTTATTGGTTTTTTTATGGGTATAGTATACTTGTTATAAAACCTATAGGCTATAATAAATTATTTTATACTATACATATATTATATAATTTAAATTAGACTTCCAAACAGAATGTTTTCATGCTTAGGATATTTTGGCAAAAAGTCTATATCGATGACGAAAATACTCGTATATATTATTACTCGTGAATTCCACGGTTTGTAAGTACGAGTAGGTAATTATTATTTCAAATGAAAAATACTTATGTAGTAGGTACTCGTACTTTTTTACTCGCAATTGAAATACAAGTAAAAGTACTCAGTACTTGGCCAGGCTCTGCATATATATATATATGTATGTATCCATTAATAGTTTTAAGGGAAAAACCAATGGGACATTTTTTTTCTAATAAAGTAGTGCATACCTAATATATAAATATAATATTTATATTTATTATATTTTAAATGCGCTTTAAAATTTTTTCTTTATTTCGTTTAAATTGATTCAAAATACTTATACTTATCGGTAATTACTACTTTATTTACCTGTTGGTAATTTATAACTCTTTGCTTTTGGTTTAAATTCGGATTATGTTAATAATTACCAAAATTAGTTAGATTAAACTAATGGTGGATTTATGTAGCACACATTAAGATTAACATTAACTTAACATTAACATTAATTTAACATTAACATTAAGTTAACATAATCATTAAGTTAACATTAACTGTCTAAAAATGAATTAGTCAAAAATGACCAATTTAATAGTTATTAGTGGCTGCTTTTTCACTTGTACCATGGTTAACCATGGAATACCATAGTATCCCAAAATGTAAGCCAATTCTTGTGTAAAATTCTCCTGTGAATACGAAAATACCGTAAAAAATTATAAAAGTCGAGCAGTTTTTGAGATATAGTAAATATAATTAATTAGTTAATGAGAATTATTTTACGAGGAATGTTTTTTTCACACATGCTTAAATAATTGGTAAATTTAAAAGATTTGTAAGGTTTAAGATAATTTATATTATAATTACATTAATTACTTAGTAATTAGTAGGTACATAATAATTTATTATCTGAAAGTGCCTGTTATAAAATGGCAAAACAAGATTACCTACATTTTATACTTATAAAAATAAAAATCGGTATTCTAATAGAACAAGGTTAAAAATAATTTACTTTTAACTACTTATCTATCTATATTAGATATAAGCCCGATAAGGCGTCTATGACATTCTATAAAATGTAAAAAAATATTTTAACGTATTTATACAATAAAAGACCCACTATGGTAAACCAGGATTACAGAAGAACTATAGGCAACAAAGAATACATGCTTTATTCCGCCGTGTATGAAGTAACTATAACTCAAAATCTTGTTGAAAATGTTCAAAAAAAAATCCCTGAAAATTTGAGCCCTTAATATTAACTCAAAGTACTCGACCAAAGCGTATGAAGATTTCCCATTTAAAATACACGTAAACTTTGATTATTTTTTTTTTAAATAACTATATCTCAGCCGCATTTTATGCTATTGGATTGTTTCAAAAAAGGATTTACTCGTAATCAAAAGTTCTACAAAAATGCTTTATGTGCCATAGCTGTAATCTGCACCTGTAGGATGGTACGGGTCACTAAATCTTATTTTAGTGAAAAATTATCATATTTTTGAAGATATTTCAAAAGTGACTAGATTCTTTGAAAAAATGTAAAGAACAAACTTGTAGAAAATTTAATTTTTTTTTAAAAAAAAGGTCCTATAAGTTGAATCGCTAAGATTGATATTTGTTGAGATATAAAGCGTTTACATTGACAATTTATAAAAATTTTAGGATTTTCGAATCAAACTTTTTATAAATGATGATTTTCAATTGTTTATCAGTAAAATTTCATCTAATTACGTTTTTTCTACAGTCGGGTGATTAGAGAAAAATTAATAACTCAAACAATCAAGCATACACTGAAAAAAATTATCTTACTTTTATTTTACTTTTGTAGTAGTAAAGTGACTTTGACTAACTACAACAGGGACAATGTTATTAGGATTAATATTAAATGAGAGATACATACCACTACGAAATGGTATACTCTGTAAATTAAATTTACCACTACTTTAAGTAGCACGGATTATAACAAAATAGTTAAAAATTGTACAATTCTGCGTCATGGATAATTTTACCATTACAACTGGTTCGTAATAAATAGCTTACCACTACAAATAGTAATTTTTTGACGTTTACCACTACAGTGGTTAATACTAATAATGTTATAATTAATGAAATTTGGTACGAATCAAGAAGCAACGGAAAATTTGGCCATTTAGTGGTTGTCTGTTTACGGCTTTGCATAGTGCGTAGTTTTGTGATATCATACTATACTGTTTTTATCGTGTTGTGAGTAGGTGTGGAACAGTTATAAAAGGACTGGGATATTGTGGAACTACTCCATTTTACTCCATTTTAACCGGTACGGATCGTAAAACGCATTTTACCTATAGGTATTATAATATTGATTTTTGGGGGTTAACCACAGGGTGGTCTGTGGGGTTAACTATAACTCGTTTTCTCTCGATGTTTTAAAATAATACCTACCTAATGCCTATGTTACCGGCAAGGTTTTTACTTCTCACATTCACTAGGAAGTGTGCGCAACACTAATTTAGAAGAAAAAAAAACTACAAACAAAAATTAAATTAACAAACACATGTTATTTATATATTGGTTGGGTTGGGTTTTTACTGCATAATTCAATTTCTCTAAAAATATTCGTACGATAATTTAAGGATATTTGTACGATAATTTAAGGATCCGCCATGTTTTTTATTATATTTAGTTATTGCATAATTTTTGTAGGTCCTATTTAACTTATATTTTTGTGGAAATTCATATAAATAATTTTATTTTAATAAAGAATGTTTTTAATATAATTGTCATTTATTTACTACCTTACCGTGCTGTTGAGAAAACCAAATTATTGGGGTAAGTGCAATCAATAATACAAATTAAACAATGATTTTGGCTAAGGTTCGCCTTACTGTTATATCCTGTTTTAAAAACTATTTTAAGTAGCTAAAATAATATACTAAGCGTACCATATACCAATATGTATTCGTAAGTTTCAACAGTGTGTAGTGGTAAAAGGTTTTAATAAAACGGTTATTGTATAACAACATGTAGTGGTAAAATTTAATTAAAGCAGTAGTGGTAACGATCACTTTGCTGTAATGTCAATTCGTAACAATAACTCATTACCATTCTGTAATGGTAGCAACTAAGGTTCTATTGGTTGGCGCCTATTTTACCATTACCATGGGTACCGCTGACCGCTTTTTTCTTTCAGTGTAGTTATTAATAACATAACTTTAAAGAGAAAAGATATAGGCATCTAACCTAAAAATTGATACGAGGTGTATTACATACAACATGTTATTTTATTAATAATTATGCTTGATTGTTTTAGTTATTTATATTTCTCTAATCACCCGACTGTAGAAAAAACGTAATTACATGAAATTGTACTGATAAACAATTGAAAATCATCATTTATAAAAAGTTTGGAACGAAAATCCTGAAAATTTCATAAAATGTCAATATAAACGCTTTATATCTCAACAAATATCAATCTTAGCGATTCAACTGATAAGACCTTTTTTAAAGAAAATTAAATTTTCTACAAGTTTGTCGTTTACATTTTTACAAAGAATTCAGTCACTTTTAAAATATCTTCAAAAATATGAGAATTTTTCACTAAAATAAGATTTAGTGACCCGTTCCATACTACAGGTGCAGATTACAGCTATGGCACATAAAGCATTTTTGTAGAACTGAAACAATCCAATAGCATAAAATGCAACTGAGATATAGATATTTAAAAAAAAAGAATCAAAGTTGACGTGTATTTTAAATGGGAAATCTTTATAAATACGCTTTGGTAGAGTACTTTGAGTTAATATTAAGGGCTCAAATTTTCAGGGAATTTTTTTTTGAACATTTTCAACAAGATTTTGAATTGGGAGCGAAAAAATAAAAATAGTTGTGAAAAAACCACCCTACTATCTACATGAGATCTTTTTGGTTTTTAGAAACCTAAAACTCATTTTCTCTGGAACTTATTTATTTTATTTTTTTAGAAACTTTACCCGACGCTCTAAACTCTGGATGCACGAAATGCAGCCCGAAACAAAAGGAGGCGACGGAAAAGGTTGTCAAGCATCTGATGAACAAGAAATCACGTGACTGGGAACGCCTAAGCAAAAAATACGATCCCCAGGGGAACTTCAAGAAGCGATACGAAGCCGAATTGGCCGCTTCGAAGAAAGCCTGAGATGTATTAATTATTTGTATATTTTTGCTATTAAGTTAATTAATTTAAGTAGGGACTTGATTTGTATTTTTATTTGTTCATTTTATCAAATGTTTATTTACAATTTATTAAGAACAATTTTAAATAAAAGTTGATAAAAAAACAGGATATAAACTTTTTGGACTTTGGTAATTCAAGTTTATTATTTTTATATTTTAAGGGCGGTTTTCCACGCACTTTCACAAATATACCGCTTATTAAATGACCTTGTTTCCTCAGTCAGTCAATTCATAAGTGGGGGATTTAAAATATATGATACCATAGACATAGTAATACGTAATGGGTGAATATGTCCCCCAAGTGAAAATGATTACACTATGTAACAAAATTTGATTTTTGTTTTGTTTATTGGATTTTTTTGTTAAATTATCAATATTTGTGTGCCAAAAAACTATTTTAACTTAATTTAAAATCTTTAGTGATAAGTTTTTATTTTTTTGAGGGGTATTTATATAATATAATCAAACCCAGTTTTATCAAAAAAAAAAAAAAAAAATTGACAAGAAATGGCAAGAAATTCAACTCAGAATTATTATTTTAACAAAACATACAATCTAGAAAAATATTTTCTTAACACAGATTTTAAATCTTGGCTCAAAAATTAATTTTAATACGACTTTTTCTTTTATATGATGCATTTTCTTCACGAATTAGATTCCAAACCACAGACCAAACATAGTCACCTATCATTGTCGCAACCCACCTTCCTTGTTATCACTTTTCCATTGCCCGAATATCTTGATGTAATCTGCAAGATGCGAATGCAAATAGTGTAGGTACTTTCAACGACATGCGGCATCCCATTTCTTTAAAACTTCCTAATAAAACTTTGACAAGGTCAGTATAATTTCCTCTTTTGTGGTTACCAAGGAAACCTTTCATATGTATTATAATCCAATTTTGTAAAAAAAAAAATTATTTGTTTTTTTACAAAGAAAGTTTAATGGGCAAAATCTTACGTGAGGGATAGGGGGGTCTACCACATGTCACCAAATCTTACCAAGGGGGAGGGAGGGGTCTAAATTATCAGAAAAATGCCTCACGTAATTAATGGATGTCCCCTAATGACACTCAAAGCCATCAACACGATCTGACGGCTGTCGTTGAAAATTTGACAGTTTGAAAAAACAAATGTAAGTATGTTACGTAATCGGGGGCATGGCCTACTACGATTTGTGTAATAAAATCCAGATAAACAAATATCATGTTACATAGTGTTATTTTTATTTTTGGTTGTTTCACTGTTAGTCTAGAATGGGGTTTTTGGAAAGCCACCAGGTCTAGTAATAACATAACATAAGTGGCTCTGCACTAATGCAAGAATTTTAAGAAATCATACATTTTGAATATTAGAGCTTCACGGAGGTTAGGAATTCGTATGTTTTTTTCAAACATCCCTTTGTATATTTGAAATAAGTTATTGTAACTTTTGACACCTTAATATTTTTGAAAAATACAATTGTACATCCATACATACATTTATAAAAAAAATCTACTTACTGAGATATTACCGAGGGGTCAACCACTGTCGGCAATACGTGCACAAATTTTATGCAGTACAAAGGCAGTACAAAGGCAGTGACGGCAATACTTCGACAGTATCGGCAGTATGCAGCTGTAAATAGGCAATATAGGCAGTACGGGAGCAGTACTTCGGCAGTACATGCAGTACTTCGGCAGTACATGGGCAGTTTCGGCAGTAATTCGGTAATATTCAGCATTTAAGTCTCACCTAACGTACTCTCTGAAAATGAATCAGTCAAAAATAACTAATTATAAGTTATATTTGACAAATTGTCATAGCGAAAAAGCAGTCACTAATAATTAGTCAAATTTTAATGAATGAAATAGTCAAATTAGTAGATTTAAATTTAAAAAAGTTTTGACCCAGCCGGGTATTGAACTCAGGTCTGTCCCTTGTCAAGCTTGTCAAGTTGTTGTCATAACCAATGTGTTGTTTGTTTTTATGGGCCATTTACCCATTTAATTAAAATAATACTTTGTTGTTGGCCGCAAACGATTTAAGAAATTAGTTACTCTCAGAAATAGTCAAAGATGGTGACTAATCTTAAATTAGTCAAACTTAAACTATTTACGTAGTAAAAAATAACTATTTAAAAGTGAAAACGACTATTTTATTAGTAAAAAATGCTGGTACTAATTTAAATAGTAGAATTGTGTCTATTTAATTTTAAGAGAGTACGTTCTGGTATCTTCCGATGCTCGTTCCGAGGTATATCAGTTTTAATTTTGCAAACTTATTTGTGTGTTTGTGCTTATTAGTTGGACCCCGTTATGCAACAAAGAACCAAACAACATATTTGCAGTTACGAGAAAATGAGGAAAAACGTTTCAGACTTTTGATTAAAAAAATTATTTATAAAAGCACTTTTAAACTGAACAAACGCTATTATATTTTACTATATATGAACAGAACAATAATTTTAATAAACAAAAACACTTAAAAAGTTAGTCCAAGTATGGAAAAAATACCTGGTTCCCTATTGCTTAATTGAAAATTTAACAAACATCAATTGGGTCCGCAACCAAGTTACAATAAAAATAAAAAAACTTACATATGTCAAAAAATAAAAGTTTTACTCTAAGAAAAACACTTGGTTCTATATTGCGGAACAGCCATTATAATAATAATAATAATAATAATAATAATAGGTATTTATTGCCCAACAGTACATACCATAAATGGACATTCATATAATAGTGTTTACTTACAAATACTAGCTTATAAATAAATAATACAAATAAGTTAAAAACAATATATAAATAATTAAAAATATAAATAGTTAACAATTTTTACAATTAACAATATAAAACACTAGGATAAACATTTTTTTATAAAGCTTAAGGAAGAAAAATTTATATCACAGGAAGTAGAAATAAAATTGAATATATTGCACATAACATATAAAGGAGATTTTTTAAGTGTGTTTGTACGAGCAAAGGGACATCTAAACGTTATACATTGTCGGCTATTACAACGAGGAATATTAAAGCACAATTGACCCAACAAATCCATGCAATCGATCTGATCATGAAGAAGTTTATACAAAAAAGTTATTGAAATAATTTTTCTTCTCAATTCCAAAGACAATACATTAAAAGTCTCTAACAGAACTAAATGATCATAACCCTGTGGTGGATAAAAATTGAATATTCTAAAGTTAAGAATTTTTAGGAATTTACGCTGTACATTTTCAAGGTTTGTTATGTGATAGGCATATATTGGAGACCAAACCACGCTGGCATACTCAAGTTTGCTGCGCACTAACGAATAATATAGTAATTTAACGGACTGAGAAGAAAAACCTTTGGTATTTCTAAAAATAAATCCAAGGGTCATTGTTGCAGATTTTATATTTGTGTTAATGTGACTTACAAAGCTTAACTGTTGATCAAAAATAACACCCAAGTCTTTCATTACAGAAACTGTATCCAAGGGAATATCATTAATGCTATATTCAAAAATAATTGGATTTAGTTTTCTGGTATAGCGCATAATCTTACATTTAGATATATTCAACTTTAAACGATTACTAAGACACCACTGGTTTAAAGTATTTAAATCATTTTGAAGTTCAAAGCAGTCATTTAAGTTTTGTATACCTTTAAAAATTTTTAAATCATCCGCATATAAAAGCTTGGAGCAACTTAAATTTAATGGCAAGTCATTAATAAAAATAACAAAAAGAATGGGTCCTAAATTAGATCCTTGCGGCACCCCTGAACAAGAGGCAAACCACTCGGAACAGTAACCATTAACAATGACATATTGTTGCCTATTAGTAAGGTATGATTCAAAAAGTTTAATAAGCATATCATCAAAACCCATCCGCCTTAATTTATTTAATAAAATAAAATGGTCTATTTGATCAAAAGCCTTTTGAAAATCGGTATAGATAACATCCAATTGGCCATTGCTATCAATCGTTTGACTAGCATGTTGTGTAAATGAAACCAAGTTACTTGTGGTAGATCGTTTTGTAATAAAACCATGTTGAAAAGGGGACAACATATTTTTTATTTGATCAAAAATTTTTGTATTTATTATTGTTTATAACCGTCTATGTCTTCCTCTATTGAAGGGTCTCCTATTAGACTAGTATAAAAATTATGATCAGCCTCAGGAATAACTGCGTATGTCATCTAGTTTTGGCTGAACCACTGGTTTCATGTTTGGCCATAGCGATTCCAGTAACTGAGAAAACTGTACGTCTGAATCCTTTGATTTTTTTATCTTCCTTATACTTTTTTCTTTATATTCAGTCTCATCAATATAGTCCGTTTTTATAAAGATACTAAATTTTTTTTCTCTAATAAGTTTTATTTCTTTTATATGGAGCCAATTAACTGTTTCACATTTACAACTTTTCTTTCTGTTAACAATTACTTTTTCTAATGCCCTAGTGCTAACGAAATCATCTTTTTTTATTTCATATACGTCAATGGGTCGCTTCTTTTTACATGTTTTCATGATGTTTATGTAATCTTGAGGGCAAAATACTTTATTTTGTCTCTTAATCGCGTATTCTACGTCACCAAAGTCGCTATCGTTCGGTAGGAAACTATGACCAGACACCAGAAACCTTAATCTAATACTTTTTAAATGTACCGAATCCTCAAGAATACTTTTTAGCAAGAGAACCATTTCTATATTGCGATTCTGGCCACCGCAGGAATCGCTCCAGAGATTAAATTCCGTTAAAAATATTTTTTTGCTTACTGAAATATTTAAATTTTCAATCTTGTAAAGGTTGTACATGACTGGCAATGTTATTCCTTCTTTCAAAAACTCTTGGTCTAGTCTTTTGACCCTACAATAATGCGATTTGTATCGGGGGAATTTGTTTATGTGGGAGACATCTCCCGTAGTACTACGGAAGCTTTTTGTTCATTTGACATTTTATTGTGTCCGCTAATACCACGCCTATCTAATACTGTCAACAATAAACAGAGAACGCCGTGAAACACGTGGGAAATTCGCAAAAGGAAACCAACACATCTTAGAATTAGCAAAAGGGAACCAAGTAACTTTGGATCTTTATAGTAAATTACAATCGAAATAGTTTTGGTTATGCAAGTAAGTTCTATCGTCCGCCAAATGGCGCTAGAGCGCCAGATCTTTGGATCGCTATTGCAAATCGGGGGAAGACAATATTTGACTATGTATAATGCAATTAACTCGATTTTTCGTAAATTGTCGGTTGGTTCCTTATTGCATAACGGGGTCCAGTTTAACTGTGTGTGGTTGTTTGGTAAGTATTGTAAACAATTAGAATATATAATAACTTTAAATATTTTAAGGTTTTAAAGTGTAAAAAAGGAACAATAAATTAAATTCTTAAAATTCGGATGTTTTTTTTTTTTGATAAACATACATTCATAATTCACAAGTAAAGACATAATATACATATATGTAAAACTATGGACAGTGTGTGGGCAGTAAGGGCAATGTTGAAAGTAAGTAGGCAGTAAGTAGGCAGTATAGGCAGTAAGAGCAATAAGTAGGCAGTAAAGGCAGTATAAGCAGTATTATCAATATAAGCAGTATAGGCAGTAATTGGCAGTATAGGCAGTTCGGCAATACGTGTACAAATATCTGGCTAGTGGTTGACCCCTCGGATATTACACTTCACGGTGGATAGGTTTTAAAATAGCAAATTAATAATGTTCAGGAATCACATGCATCTATAATGTCGTAAACAGAGGTTTTTGCTTATTTAAAATGATTAAAGCGCCATCCGTTACACAAAATTTAAAGCAAAAACTAGGTTTGGCTTTATTATTAGAAAAGGTGGCATAATATGCATATTATGTAAAAGCTACTAAAAATGTAAACACAATGAAAAAATAATTCCAAAACAATTGGTATACAATAAAAAAAACAAAAAAAATGGTTGATTATAAAAACCATCTGCATATTAATACCTATGTCTATGATAAAAACCTTTTGGCTATCGTGGTCAAAATATGAAGTTGCCAAATTCTTGCTGTTATAAACATGCCATTATAAAATCTAAAATATCATCATTTGGTGTGTTGCTACATGCTTTTTTATACAATTTATATACAATTTATTAAAAAGAAGGTATTTTTACTTCCTCTAATTTAACCATACAAAAAGGAAACAGTCTCAGTTATAACTATAGAAATGATTTGTATACCTATGTGTAATTTTCTTAGATTATTTAAAGAGAAGATCTTCAATATACTCGCTGAGTAAACAACTTTTATCAAAAAATTTATTAAAATTTAAAATACATTAATTTGATACAAATGGTTTTATTTTTCTTGCGCGTATGCGGGATTTTCCATTGCCATGTTATTGCTATACTTCTTATGCCCCGATATGATATCCTGTATCTCCTGAAAGCTTCTTCCTTTAGTTTCAGGCAACCAAATAAACACTATGACGGCAGATACCGCCAATATACCGCTGTACAAATAAAAGGTCCCGCCCATGCCGATGCTGTTAACCAAATCTTTGAAAAAGTACAACACAGCGAATCCAACAAAGTTGCAACATGTATTTATAATACTGGACCCCACCGATTTTAGTTCTGTCGGGTATATTTCAGCTATTATAGCCCAGGGTAAGTTGGCGATTCCCGAAAAGAACGCGACCATAAATATACATATACTAAGCAACGGCAGCCACGAGAACGAATCCATGGTCTTCCCTTGATCTTTGAGGGTGAAGAAAGTTCCAAACAAAGTTTCCGATAAAATCGCGCCGAATATGGAGAACAACATCATAGTTCTTCTGCCGAATTTATCGGTGAAAATAGGCGCTATAGGCGCACAAATCACTTGCATGACGCCTACAATAATGGCGGATTGCGAGGAGGTCAACTTGGAATTCGTAGCATCAAAAATTTGTTCGGTGTAACTCAAAACAACGCCCATACCGGAAAGTTGTTGGAAAACTGTTAAAAATAGAGACATGAAGAAAGCAAATCTTGCCGCTTTGGTGCTGAATAGGTCTATGATGCGTCCCTTTTCGTTGTTCTGGTCGGAACATTTTTGTATGTCATCCATTTCTTTAGTTATTCTGTCCCCAGTATAGCCACGGATTATTTCGAGCGATTTTGTAGCTCCTTTAATGTCGCCGCGTTTAATTTGATAATGTGGCGATTCCGGGACCAATATTATGATTAAAACCAAATATATACTCGGTATTATAGCTAGTACAAGATTGAAAACCATGGGCGAGGTGTAAGGTCCTAAACAGTAGGAAAATAAAGACCCAATGCTTATAAAAAACATTGTGGCCGATGATAACAATCCTCTATTGGCATTGTCAGCTATCTCAGCTATGTACAAAGTAGAAATGGAAAACATAGATGCAATCCCAATTCCCAACAAGAACCTTCCAGCGTAGTACAAACTAATATCTGTGGCAAAGGCAAAAACTAAGTAGGGTACAATAAAAGGCACCGCCAGTACAATCAAGGTTTTCCTTTGGCCGATTTTGGCGTTTAAATAGCCGAATATTAAGGGCCCTACAATGCCTCCAATGGTATATAAAGATGTTATCCAGCTAGCTTCGTTTTCTGATATGGCACGGCCCAGCGGATTTTCGTCGCTTTTTTGCAATTTCGACAGTTGCGAAGATGGCCATGATATGGACGTACCAACGGAAATTGAAACGATGTTGACTGCAACAATAAAAAGTTTGAATTGAAGAGAAAATTTCATGATTCTTCTTATTAAAATCAGTTTTGTAAATTGTAAAATTTGGAATTTTGGCGAATTAGATGAATGCTTGTGATAATTTGGAGTTTATGATACTTTACACAAATTTAAAAATAATTAGTCGACGAAAACCATTCAAACACGTTTATGTATGTATGACAAAAATTTTAAATTAAAAAAATGCGCTGTATCACTAAAAATTACCCAAGTACTTAAAATCATACAAACAGCTAATAAAAGTTTAATTAAATTTTGAGGCCGGTCCGGGCATAAAAACAAGAATGACAAATTCCACAATAATTTATTATACAGGGTGGCTCAAAAGTTTGTAATATTAAGTGAAAACTTTTGAAATATCGAGAATTTAAAAAAATGATTTTAATAAAAGTTGTTTCTTCTTCTTCTTCCTTGGTGGCCTACGGCCTTAATGGTCTCGGTTTCAATGAACCACTTTGACCAGCAACAAGTTTCACGAAGCCATCCACCCATAGACACGTGAATTTTCCAAATCTTGGATCATCCTGGATGATCCAAGATTTTGAAAATGATTCATCCACTCAATGTATAGTACAAATCACAAAATACCTCATTAGAAGGTCAAAGCTTGCGATATTGTCCAAAAATACAGGTATATTTCTATACCCGGAATTCAATTTTGTCCATCCTGCAGGCCTGGGTCAAAGTCAGCTATGTTTCATACTTTTCATCGAGCAATGTCCCAGAGATGAAATTGCGATGCACCACACACGAAAGACAAAACTGAACTCTGTTTAATACTTAAGTTATTTAAAATTTTGCGGTGACATTACCAACTTAAAAAAAATACGTAGCCCACAACAGGGCGAACTTTTTTTTAATCTCTCATTTTTAGAACAGAATTTAAAAGAGCCTTTTTAATCTGATTACAACAGTATATTAATATTAGTATGTTACAAAGGGATATTTGAGCAAAATGGCCTAGAATTCAAAAAACCTTTATTCAAAATAATGCATAAAAACAAGAATATTATTACCCAAACTAAAGTAAGTGTTCAGAATGTTGCCGATTTTCAAATTATTGTTTTACATTTTGCAGTGAAACTTCTTGAACATTATAATATATGAATTTCATCAACTATTATTTCTGACCCTGAAGATTGCTCGGCCTATTTTTGTACACCACTGACTTCCAATAACCCCATAAAAAAATCCAATGGTGTTAGGTCTGAAGACCTAGCAGGCCACTTTATTGGCCCTCGTCTACCAATCCACCTGTTTGAAAATACCTGGAATATGTATCTCCTTACTGCCCAACCAAAATGTGGTGAAGCACCGTCTCTGCTGGAACCAAATGGTGTCGTCTACTTCATTAAGGGTACAATGCCCTTACTGATGGAACGATATCTGTCTGGAGGAGGTTCAAATATTGTTTTGCAGTTAGATTGCCCTCAATAAAAATGGTTCTATTACAATATATATATATGTGTTGGTCAATTATTCCTGCCCATACATTTATCTTTTAAGGGTGATGTGTGAGTGTTTCATCTTTCCAATGCGGGTTTTGGTGGAACCTTTAGCGGCAGTTATGACGATGTGGCCTCAACCAAAAATAAAATTTTTCTTGAGAAATTTAGATCCTCTTTACAACGTCCAATCAAAATTTCACAAAACTCAGCATAACTGATAACTAGGGATGGGATTTTAGTTATTTTACCTTTTTTTAACAGATGTAACTATTTGAAAACCAATAATGCCAAAATGTGTTTTAAAAGATTTTCTTTTATATGAACCTAACTTGTTTTCACCTTTTTTACCTTTTTTGGAGGTTTTTGCTTTTAACTACCTTTTTTATACTTTTGTTACCTATTTTTTTAACTTTTTTTCACCTTTTTTACCTTTTTTGGAGGTTTAGCTTTAAACTACTTTTTTATACTTTTGTTACATATTTTTTAATTTGTCAGTTTATTTTCATATATTTGTTACCTATTTTAAGATATTTTTACTTATTTTATTTTTTTTGTTCTTTTTAAAATTTGCGCCAATATTTTATCCAGGGCGTGCAACTCAACGGTATAGAATTTTTTCTTATGGTTACAGACTGTAACAGTAACTTTCTTTACAGTTACCTTCTTTGTAGTTACTCACTACTAGTGAGCTTATGTTCTGTCATAGAACTTCTGTGTAGTGAGTGTCACTCAGTAAAACACAGTTTATTGCATAGAAATAGTTTATTGTGGGTAGGTATGTTCTGTGTTTGGGTATGCGGCTAAACAAAATTATAAATGAAACTTAAACTTTTAATGATTTTTTTTACCTAAAATGCTGTTTTTTAACCTAAAATGCTTTTTTTAGTACCTTTTTAGTTACCTATTTTTTAGTTTTTAGTACCTAAATATCCCATCCCTACTGATAACTGATATCGTTGTCCCGACAAGAAACTGTAGGTACTTCCTGGACTTGCAATAGCACATTCAGAGCAACATCTTCAGCAGTGGCAGATTTTGGTCGACCGCTTCTAGACCTATTTTTCACACTTTCGGTTTCAGATATTTTTTTACAATTTTGCTTACGCATGATTGTGTCAGAGGCTCCTTTTCCGGATATGTGGAAATAAATAATGCACATAGGTACCTACTTCTTGCCGAGTCCTTTATCGGTCACCATACCCAACCATCATTAAAATTTCAATTCTTTTCTTTTTCAGTAAGCATTGTTTTTTATATATATATTTATTTTACTATTAGCACACTATGAATTAAATATTATTACAACATTGTAATAAGAAAAATAGTCTCTCAAATTTTGTTATAAAAAAGAGGGTTGTAATTAAAAAAAATTGGCCTCCTTGGGTGCTACGTATTTATTTTTTTAAGTTGGCAATATCGCCGTAAAATTTGAAATGAACTACCGAACAACTTTTATAAAAATAATTTTTTAATATTTTCGATATTTCAAAAGTTACACTCAATATTCCAAACTTTTGAGCCACCCCGTATGCTTTCTGATTTGTATTACTATTTGGTTAGAAATATCTAAAATAATTAATTCTGTCCAAATCTGAGAAGAAACCAAAAGCAAATCCTGCGCACGGCCCTGACCTACATATTTCTTCTAAAGTTTGTTGTTTTATTAACACAGTGTTAATATTGAATAACACAAAACAGTACCAACCTATTAATTTTAAGATACATACCACGTGGTTCAATTAACGTTAGTAATTATAATTTGTTACAATAAATAGAGCCTTAAATTTAAAGTTAATTATATTTTTACCTATTGCGACTAGAATGTATATAAACTTTGTTTCACAAACTCGAACTGTCATTTTTGTTGCTCACTATAACAAACAAACAGCGAAAAGCAGGTTTGTAACACGCTATTCTTAAAGCAGGTAATTGATCAATTTGGCGAAAATATTTTGCGTAAACCTATATTACATAGATTTATTAATAATGGATGAATTTGCTACTTCACTACGAAAAAAAATTACAATTAAATTGATAAAATTAAAAAAAAATCGCGTAACTACGAACACGCCATGCTAAGCTGCACGTTTGATTTATCATTATGTTAAAATTTTAGGTTACTCCCACCTTTAAAACGACTATTTTCGTACATGGTTCCGTAACACTAAGTGACATTGACAATCTGTCACTTTTGGCGTTTTAGTCACTGGCTAAAGTTGTATTTTAATTTTTTAATGCTATTTATTTATTTTATTTATTTCTCCCGCATTTTCCTTCCCGATCTAACAAGTTGTATAACTGCTGGGTCCGGTTGTCATAAAATTTTCTTTATTATGTTGGTATACATGCCCCCGAAGTATGACTTCTAGCTGTTTTCTTTGTTTACTTTGTTTACTTTGTCTGTGGCAGCCGCTAAGGTTAGACGTGTTTTATGAGCTCGGCGATTTTTCGTTCGTTAAAAGAAATGGATCAAAGAATTTGTATCCAATTTTGCTTAAAAAATGAAATAAATTCTGTGAAATGTTAACAAAGGCCTATAGTGAGTCTGCTATAAGTAAAACAAGAGTTTACAAGTGGTATAAGAGTTTCCAAGAACAACCGATAAAAACATGGAAAAAGTGGAAGAAATAGACGTGTTTTATGAGTTTGGCGATTTTTCGTTCGTTAAAAGAAATGGATCAAAGAATTTGTATCCAATTTTGCTTAAAAAATTAAATAAATTCTGTGAAATGTTAACAAAGGCCTATGGTGAGTCTGCTATAAGTAAAACAAGAGTTTACAAGTGGTATAAGAGTTTCCAAGATGGCCGTGAAGACGTTGAAGATGACGAACGCCCCAAACGCACAAGCGCATTAACAACCGATAAAAACATGGAAAAAGTGGAAGAAATGGTTATAAACCATCAGAGAAAGTCGCTGATGATGTTGGTATATCGATTGGCTCATCCCATGAAATTTTTTCGAATGTTTTGGGAATGAAACGCTTGGCAGCATAATTTGTTCTAAAATTGTTAAATTTTTGGCCAAAAACAATACTGTAATGATGCCCCAGCCTCCATATTCGCCAGACATGCCTCTGTCTGACTTTTTCCTATTCTCAAAAATAAAGAGAACCTTAAAGGGCCGTCGTTTTGCAAGCATAGATGACATTAAAAGCGCATCGCTGAAAGAACTAAAGGCTATCCCAAAGATCGAGTTTTAGAAGTGTTTCGAGTATTGGAAGAAGAGCTGGCACATGTGCATAATATCCAATTGGGACTATTTTGAAGGCGTCAACATTAATGTAGACGAATAAATAAATATTTGTTTCAAAAAACGAAAATTCCCGATATTTTCTGAACAAACATAAATTTTTTAAATCATTTGCTTACATCGACCAAGTTAAGCTTACATAAATTTCTGAGGTTTGACTTTATAAAAAGCAAAAAGTTACATAATATGCATATTATGTAAAAGCCACTAAAAATCTCGTAACTATAATGAAAAAAAACAATTCGTATACAACAGAAAACAAACAAAATTTTTAATTATAAAAACCATCAACATATTATTATGTCTATGATAAAAACTTTTTTGTGTTGTCTGCCCCACTGTGCGATGCCAATTCTTCAGTCTTGAGGTCGAAAACTATCGATAGATAGTTCAGTAGTCGGCCATGTAACTACCGATAGTTATCGATAGCTGTTGATGTTTTTTTTTAAGGTTTATTACCGCAGTAGTGCGAATTTCTAATACTATACAGCAAAGCAAGTTCGACTTAAAAAAAAACAATGCCTGTATAGGCATATATAAAATACCTATAGGTATTTTTTGGTCTATTAGGATGTTGGTTTGTTGTTTGTTTTAAATGTATTTTTGTTGTTCCAACGGATTTTTCTACTTGAGTAAGTATAAACCCGGAGGGTTTGTAGGCTTGGTGAATTACGGAATTACAAGTTTTTAGAATTGCGAATAGCGACGTGCAAATATTAATAAAATACTTATCCGAAAATTTTGCTGATGCCCCTTATTTCCTCTGATTGATATCAATTTCCCACACATTGAATGGCAGGGGTGACACTATACACTTTGCACTTTAGTCCTGGTCGATGAGTTGATTATGCACCTTGGGATTCGCGGAACTATATACTGTTGAACAAAATCTTATATAATTAGCTTTTAGGTATTCAGGATTTTAAAAAATGCACTGGTTATTTGTATCGTTTGTGGAGCGATAGAAATATACGTCTGACTGGTACAAGCAGTACTGTAGCAATTTATATACAATTTATTAAAAAGTATTTTTATACAAAAATATGCATCCCCTACTTTAACCATACGAAAAGGAAATAGTTTTAGTTAAAAATGATTTATATACATATGCGTAGTTCTCTTAGATTAGTTAAGGAGGAGATCTTCAATATACTCGCTGGGTGAAAGACTTTTATAGAAAAATTTATTAAAATTTGAAATACATTAATTTGATACAAATCGTTTTATATTTCTTGTGAGTATGCTAAATTTTCCATTGCCACGTCATGGCTATACTTCTTATGCCCCGATATGATATCCTGTATCTCCTGAAAGCTTCTTCCTTTAGTTTCAGGCAACCAAATAAACACTATGACGGCAGATACCGCCAATATACCGCTGTACAAATAAAAAGTCCCGCCCATGCCGATGCTGTTAACCAAATCTTTGAAAAAGTACAACACAGCAAATCCAACCAAGTTGCTACATGTATTTATAATACTGGACCCCGCCGATTTTAGTTCTGTCGGGTATATCTCAGCTATTATAGCCCAGGGTAAGTTGGCGATTCCCGAAAAGAACGCGACCATAAATATACATATACTAAGCAACGGCAGCCATGAGAACGAATCCATGGTCTTCCCTTGATCTTTGAGGGTGAAGAAAGTTCCAAACAAAGTTTCCGATAAAATCGCACCGAATATGGAGAACAACATCAGAATTCTTCTGCCGAATTTATCGGTGAAAATAGGCGCTATAGGCGCACAAATCACTTGCATGACGCCTACTATAATGGCGGATTGCGAGGAAGTCAGCTTGGAATTCGTGGCATCAAAGATTTGTCCGGTGTAACTCGAAATAACAGTTATACCGGAGAGTTGTTGGAAAACAGCCAGAAATAGAGACATGAAGAAAGCAAATCTGGCCGCTTTCGTGCTGAATAGGTCTATAATGCGTCCCTTTTCGTTGTTCTGATCGGAACATTTTTGCAGGTCATCCATTTCTTTTGCTATTCTGTCCCCAGTATATCCACGGATTATTTCGAGCGATTCTATAGCTCCTTTAATGTCGCCGCGTTTAATTTGATAATGTGGCGATTCTGGGGCCAATATTATTATTAAAACCAAATATATACTCGGTATTATAGCTAGTACAAGATTGAAAACCATGGGCGAGGTGTAAGGTCCTATACAGTAGGAAAATAAAGACCCAATGCTCGCGAAAAACATTGTTGCCGATGATAACAATCCTCTATTTGCATTTTCAGCTATCTCAGCTATGTACAAAGTAGAAATAGAAAACACGGACGCTATCCCAATACCCAACAAGAACCTTCCGGCGTAAAACAAATTAATATCTGTTGCAAAGGCAAAAACTAGGTAAGGTACAATAAAAGGCACTGCTAGTGCAATCAAGGTTTTCCTTTGGCCGATTTTAGCATTTAAGTAGCCGAATATTAAAGGCCCTACAATGCCTCCAATGGCATATAAAGATGTTATCCAGCTAGCTTCGTTTTCTGATATGGCCCGGCCCAGCTGATTGTCGTCTGTTTTTTGCAGTTTTGGCAGTTGCGAAGACGGCCATGTCATGGACGTACCAATGGAAATTGAAACGATGTTAACTGGAACATTAAAAAGTTTGAATTGGAGAGAATATTTCGCAATATGATCCTTCTTATTTTATGCCAAATATTTTAAATTCAAGAAAATTACATAGTCCACCTTCTTAAAAACAGCCAAGTTTAGTTAAATTATGCGTCTGGCAGATAAATTTGCAGTGACGTCAGTACGGTTTACAATGTAGGTACAATTTTTTATTTGAATTACTTATGCAACCGAGTATACATGTTTTACACGAATGCAAAGGACTAAAATGTTGTAGTCATTATTATAATAATATCAAGAATTATCCCTATTGTAAATGACCAATAGAATCCAATAAAAAATATGTAATTGCTTTGAATTGGTTTGAAATGTGTTTTGGCGCTATGAATCGCCAATTCATTTCAGTTGCATTCCTATTGGTAAGTTTCAATGAAGTCAGCGGCTTACTATGCTTGTCTCTATTGGCTAAATCCAATAGAAATGCACCTGGAATGAATTGGTAATTCATAGCGCCAAACCCATTCAAACCAATTTGAACCAATTTATTTTTTTAAATTTGGATTAAAAATACCATTTTATTTTTCATTCAAAAATTATTAGTTCCCACAGAATAACCGGGTTAAAACCAGAATTAATTTTTCACAGAAGAGACAAAAAAGTTTATTATTTTTTCTTTATTTCTTTATTATTTTTTCGTGTAAGTGAGATATGTATTGATACATATAACACAAAAAAAGTAATAAAAAATAAATAAAATTACTCGGTTATAATAATGTTTTTGTCTTTCTTGCAAAGGATATCCTAAACATGTTTGTAGGCATGGTCGAAATCAATATTATTTGTCAATTTTTTTTATTTTGTCCGCTGTAACCATCATCGTCCCTAAACCTTACACATATAAAGATTTTTTAAGATATAAGTACAGTGTACTTAGTACACCACTAACACTATGCACTTAACACAGAAATCGACTAATAAAAAAACCGCTAATAAATGACGTCCAAAGACTTGTTGTGTTGTTTTTCCTTTATGATGGCGTCTCAACCTCGTTGGTTTTGCGCAGCTACACGAGAGCCCTCTTGCGATATTTGTATTGCATTGGAAATAACCAATTAGCAGATTTTTCAAATCTTGCACTGGGAATGCCCAATTGAATTCAGTTGGAAATTACCTATAGGTAGCTAAAAAACAGTAGAATCCTAATTGGATTTTTCCAACATGGACCCATTGATACCAACCAATACTTCAATTGATTTCTACAGAAATTAATCGGTCATTTACAACTGGGATAATTATGTCATATATATACGAGGTGCGTTCAGAAAATATCGGGAATTTTCTTGTTTTACTTATAGCAGACTCACTATAGGCCTTTGTTAACATTTCAGAGAATTTATTTAATTTTTTAAGCAAAATTGGATACAAATTTCTTTGATCCATTTCTTTAAACGAACGAAAAATCGCCGAGCTCATAAAACACGTCTAACCTTAGCGGCTGCCACAGACAAAGTAAACAAATAAAACAGCCAAAGTTTTTATTATACTTCGGGGGCATGTATACCAACATAATAAAGAAAATTTTATGACAACCGGACCCTCCGAACTCGCGAAATTTAACAATTCCCGTTATTTTCTGAACACACCTCGTATATATATTTTTTATATTTATATTTTACTTGCGAAACTGAAAAAACCCTGAAATTATTTTTTTTATGAAATTTAATAAACCCCTCGAGAAACAAATCCTGCGCACGGTCCTGACCTACACAATTGTTTTCACACTGTGGTTTTCAATATTTCTTGCATAATAAGCAAAGTTCATTGTTTATTGTTTTATTAATATTGATTAACATAAAACAGTACCTACATATCTATTAATTTTAAGACACATACCAGGCGATTCAAGTAACGGAAGGCATACATTACAATTTATCACAATAAAAAAGCCTTCAATTTAAAGTTAATTATATTTTTTTACCTATTGCGACCAGGATGTATATGAATTTTGTTTCACAAACACGAACTGTCATTTTTGTTGTTCACTGTGAATTTATTCTAACAAACAAACTGCGAAAAGCAGGTTTGTAACACGCTATTCTTAAAGTAGGTAATTGATCAATTTGGCGAAAATATTTTGCGTAAACCTAATTAAAATATTTATAGAAAAATTAAATTAAATTAAAGATAAGTTATTAACAAACAATTAGGTGTTTACAAATTTTACTAAAAAAAACTATTGATAATTTTGTTTACGTATATTATAAATTACGTATATTAATGTGCTATTTACTTCACTATACTCAAAAAAATTCAAGGGGTAAACCACTGATTTTAAAAATTAGGATTAGGATAACAATCACAAGTGTAGTCATGCGCAACGCGTCGCTAAGAGAAATTTCTTATTGATAAGGATTTTTTCTTATTGATAACGACTGATAAGGAACACAACAGAACATAACGTCCACATAACGTAAAACGTTGGTCTCGCTAATTTTAAAGTGGTTTACCCCTCGAAAAAATTACAATCAAATTGATAAAATAAAAAACGCTATGATTGTAACTTAATTTTTGTACATGGTTCTATGCATGATATATTATAATAATTATCAATGGTTCCATGAAACTAAGTAAAATTGACAACCTCCATCTATGAAACAACTTTATTTTATTTTATTTTTGTCGGCCTGTGTTATCAATGGTTCCATGAAACTAAGTAAAATTGACAACCTCCATCTATGAGACAACTTTAAAACTTCTCAGAGACATCTGGTTATTTTGCATTTTTTGGTATCTCCGAGTTTTTCTAACCTTAATTAAAACTTCCCGACGTCTTGAAAATGTCTTTTGTATGTCTGTATTATGCCTGAACGTCTGAAGATCTAAAAAAGACGTCTAAAAGACGTCTTTTGATAGACTTCTTAAAGATTCTTCATTTAATGTTCTAAAAACATCTTATAAATGCCTGATACCGCCGCTAATTTTTTTGATAAAATAGTGAATTTTGACAAGTCAAAATCGAAATTATATCCCATAATCAGCCACTTCATAGTAAGATATAATTAAGTACCATCTCATTTTGGTGTAATAGAAACAACATTAATGTAGGATTTTGCAAAATCATGATTTTGACAATGATGATAGGTAGGGTAACTTTTTTATGTTCCCGTTCGACGTTCAACAACTCAAGTGACAAGGTTTTTGATTTTATTGTGAATTTGGTTTCGTCTTGTGGTGTTTTTCGAAAAAATAATTGATAGCCCAAGGGATACCCTGGTATCTGACCCACCTATAATACACTCAAGAAGAGCTTCAGACAGAAGGGTTCTACTTGACAAGAAGTTTTGACTCTATTGATTTGAATTAATAGGCAGAAATAAATATGTAACAATTTTTTTTTTATTTTAAACAGAAGTGCGAGGTGTGTTCAGAAAATATCGGGAATTTTCGTTTTTTGAAACAAATATTTATTTATTCGTCTACATTAATGTTGTCGCCTTTAAAATAGTCCCCATTGGATATTATGCACATGTGCCAGCTCTTCTTCCAATACTCGAAACACTTCTAAAACTCGATCTTTGGGATAGCCTTTAGTTCTTTTAGCGATGCGCTGCATCTATGCTTGCAAAACGACGGCCCTTTAAGGTTCTCTTTATTTTTGGGTATAGACAGAGGCATGTCTGGCGAATATGGAGGCATCATTACAGTATTGTTTTTGGCCAAAAATTGTATTCAAAATTTAACAATTTTAGAACAAATTTTGCTGGCACGCGTTTCATAACCAAAACATTCGAAAAAATTTCATGGGATTAGCCAATCGATATACCAACATCATCAGCGACTTCTCTGATGGTTTATAACCATTTCATCCACTTTTTCCATGTTTTTATCGGTTGTTAATGGGCTTGTGCGTTCGGGGCGTTCGTCATCTTCAACGTCTTCACGGCCATCTTGGAAACTCTTATACCACTTGTAAACTCTTGTTTTACTTATAGCAGACTCACTATAGGCCTTTGTTAACATTTCACAGAATTTATTTCATTTTTTGAAGCAAATTCCCGTTATTTTCTGAACACACCTCGTATGCGTTATTTTTAGAAGTTTTAAAGCATTCTTAACTACCACAGAGTAGACTCTTTGTTGTACTCTGTGTTAGCTACATTTTAATTACTTAATACTTTAAAAACATTTTGGCGATGTACCAATGCATAACCAAGACGTTTTCAATAGGTAGTCTTTAACATCTTAAAGACGTCTTAACGACGTTTAGCAATGACTTAATAATGCCGTTGAAAGGACATCTTAAAGACGGTGTGTTTTGTAACAGACGTCTTAAAGATGACTTACGTCGTAAACTGGACGTCTTATAGATGTCATAAACGTACGAGTCCGACATCTTTAAGATGTCTCTGTGCTATCTGGGTTATTAATAAGGTTTCTACAGTTAAAATCCTACCAGAATCTAGAACATTTTTAGATGCTTTATCTCTAAACGAGTGGTTTTGTTGCGTTTTTAAAGAGTGTGGTTTTCTGTCGTTAAAACTTGCAGTTAAAGTTCTCCAATAAAAAAACAATCCACTTTGCAATTTTCCCAACAAAGTACTAGTAGATAGTTCCCATTCCTACAAGGTACTATGTTCCACACCTCAAAGTCCCACCACGTGACCACGTACGGAACGCAGTCTTTTGAAAATTTGGCATTTAAGGCTTTTCAGGTTATGTATCTGTCAAAGTATAGTCAACGAAAGAAATAAAATTATGTTTAGCCGTTAAAAATGTATAAATCTTTATAACATTAGAGTAACAATGGATGGTTTAAGAATTTAAGAATATAAATACTGCATTTATAATAATAATAAATAAATATAAATATCTTTATTATTAGCATAAGCTATTTACAATTTCTCATCATTATATATATAAAAATATTAGTAATAACATCAGAAATATCACAGGTCAATTTTTTCTTTTACATAAGATAGTATATATTTCTTAAAACTAATTAAAGTATCACAGTTTTTAATTTCATTTAATGAAATTCTAAAATGTATGGTGCCAAATAAGTAATATTTTTGTGCATTTGGTCCAAATATCTGGTTTTTTCCCATAAAATAATTTTAACTAAACAGCATTTATTATTTAATTTTAACTAAACAGCATTTATTATTCAAAAGACTGTATAATATGGTATTTAAAAATGTGGTAGTTTTTCTTATCCAGCTTAAAGTGTACCTACATAAAGTTTTGTCAATACAAATAGTTAAAATAGTTAAAAAAGCTTCGACTGAATTTGATCTATATCAAAAAATCATTATAACTTTATAAATTTTAATAAATCACATGTCATGGGAGTATTAAATATTTTCACATAGCAAGTTTCTCTAAAAATTGTTTGTTTTCTTATAATCTAACTTAAAGTAAGTATGCCGAGAGGTATGCACAAGTTTTGTCGTTAGAAGTATAAAAGCTTCAATTTAATTTGAACTATATTCAACAATTATTTAGTATACCATATTAACACACTCTTTCAAATGATCCACTTATTTATTTTGGTCAAAATAGATTTTTCTAACCTTAAAATACAAAATTGGATAATATTTTTTGTTCTTATACATTAACCTACCTTTGATACAGATATTCTTATTTCATAATAGATTTTTTTTAATAAATGATGTTTAGTTAATACTATTTTATGGAGAAATGTAGACCAAATGCACAAAAATATCACTTATATTGCACCTTACACTTTGGTATTTCATTAAATGCAGTATTTATATTACTAAATTCTTAAACCAACCATTGTTATTGTGATACTATAAAGATTTATTAACTTTTAACGCTTAAACATAAGCGGTAACACTATAAACATTATTTCTTTCATTGACTATACTTTGACAGATACATAACCTGAAAAGCCTTAAATGCCAAATTTTTAAAACACTGCGTTCCGTAAGTTGTCACGTGGTGGGATTTTGAGGTGTGGAGCATAGTACATATATCGGTGCTCCTTTACCCACTTTCGGCATCGGCTTCAATTTGCTGACGATGCCTTTGTACTGTACATTTATTAAAACAATAAAACAAGTTTTATATAAACATTTAATAAAATATAAAATAAATTAATTTAAAACAAATATATTTAAATCTATAGATTTATTCTTTTTCTGAGAACGCAGGATTTTCCATTCCCGTGTTGTTGCTATTCTTCTTATGTCCCGAAATGATATCCTGTATCTCCTCAAAGCTCTTTCCTTTAGTTTCAGGCAACGTGGTATAAAGTATGACGGTAGCCACTGCCATTAAACAGCTGTACAAATAAAACATACCGCCCAAGCCGATGCTGTCAACCAAACCATTGAAAAGGTATAATGATGCAAAACCAACCAAGTTGCTAAACGCGTTTATAATACTGGACCCTATCGATTTTAGTTTTGACAGATATATCTCGGCTATTATAGCCCAGGGTAAGTTGGCGAGACCAGAGTATTTCGCCGCCATTAATAGGGACATACTAAACAACGGCAGCCATGAGACCGAATCCAGGTTCTTTCCTTGATCATTGAGAGTGAAATAGGTTGCTAACAAAATTTCCGAAAAAATACCCCCTGTTAAGGAGAACAGCATCATGATTCTTCTGCCGAATCTATCGGAGAAAAGTGGCGCTATTGGCGCACAAAGCACCTGCATAACGCCCACAATTATGGAGGATTGTGAGGAAGTCAACTTGGATTTAGTGGCATCAAATATTTGAGAGGTGTAAGTCAAAACAACACCGAAACCGGAAAGTTGTTGGGTAGTCGTTAAAAATATACCCATGAAGAAAGCAAACCTTGCCGCTTTGGTGCTAAATAGGTTTGTAATGCGTCCCCCTTCGATTTTCTTCTCCATGGCACTATTCTGTATGTCTTCTATTTCTTTTTTTATTCTATCGCCAGTGTATCCACGGATTATTTCTAATGATTTAGTAGCACCTTCAATATCGCCGCGTTTGATTAGATAACGTGGGGATTCTGGGGCCAAAATTATGAGTAAAACCAAATATACACTCGGTATTACAGCTAGTATAAGGTTGAAAACCATGGACGAGGTGTAAGGTCCTATGCAGTATACTATACCTATAGGAAAATAAAGACCCCAGCCCCACGAAAAACATTGTTGCCGATGATAACAAACCTCTATTTTTACTTTCAGCTATGTTGGCCACGTACAAAGTACAAATAGAATACACGGATGAAATCCCAATACCCAAGACAAACCTTCCAACGTAGTACAAAATTATATTATTTGCGAAGGCAAAAACTAAATATGGTCCAATAAAAGGCACTGATAATACAATCAAGGTTTTTTTAGGGCCGATCAGGTCGTTTAAGTAGCCGAACATTAAAGGCCCTACAATGCCTCCAATGGTATATAAAGATGTTATCCAGCTAGCTTCTTAAACCAACCATTGTTATGGTGATACTATATAGATTTATTAACTTTTAACGCTTAAACATAAGCGGTAACACTTTAAATATTATTTCTTTCATTGACTATACTTTGACAGATACATAACCTGAAAAGCCTTAAATGCCAAATTTTCAAAAGACTGCGTTCCGTAAGTGGTCACGTGGTGGGACTTTGAGGTGTGCAGCATAGTACATATATCGGTGCTCCTTTACCCACTTTCGGCATCGGCTTCAATTTGCTGACGATGCCTTTGTACTGTACATTTATTAAAATAATAAAACAAGTTTTATATAAACATTTATTAAAATATAAAATAAATTAATTTAAAACAAATAGATTTATTCTTTTTCTGAGAACGCAGGATTTTCCATTCCCGTGTTATTGCTATTCTTCTTATGTCCCGAAATGATATCCTGTATCTCCTCAAAGCTCTTTCCTTTAGTTTCAGGCAACGTGGTATAAAGTATGACGGTAGCCACCGCCATTAAACAGCTGTACAAATAAAACATACCGCCCAAGCCGATGCTGTCAACCAAACCATTGAAAAAGTATAATGCTGCAAAACCAACCAAGTTGCTAAACGCGTTTATAATACTGGACCCTATCGATTTTAGTTTTGACGGATATATCTCAGCTATTATAGCCCAGGGTAAGTTGGCGAGACCAGAGTATTTGGCCGCCATTAATAGGGACATACTAAACAACGGCAGCCACGAGACCGAATCCAGGTTCTTCCCTTGGTCATTGAGAGTGAAATAGGTTGCTAACAAAATTTCCGAAAAAATACCCCCTGTTAAGGAGAACAGCATCATGATTCTTCTGCCGAATTTATCGGAGAAAAGTGGCGCTATTGGCGCACAAAGCACTTGCATAACGCCCACAATTATGGAGGATTGTGAGGAAGTCAACTTGGATTTAGTGGCATCAAATATTTGAGAGGTGTAAGTCAAAACAACACCGAAACCGGAAAGTTGTTGGGTAGTCGTTAAAAATATACCCATGAAGAAAGCAAACCTTGCCGCTTTGGTGCTAAATAGGTCTGTAATGCGTCCCCCTTCGATTTTCTTCTCCATGGCACTATTCTGTATGTCTTCTATTTCTTTTTTTATTCTATCGTCAGTGTATCCATGGATTATTTCTAATGACTTAGTAGCACCTTCAATATCGCCGCGTTTGATTAGGTAACGTGGAGATTCAGGGGCCAAAATTATGAGTAAAACCAAATATACACTCGGTATTACAGCTAGTATAAGGTTGAAAACCATGGACGAGGTGTAAGGTCCTATGCAGTAGGAAAATAAAGACCCCAGCGCCACGAAAAACATTGTTGCCGATGATAACAATCCTCTATTTTTATTTTCGGCTATGTTGGCTACGTACAAAGTACAAATAGAATACACGGATGAAATCCCAATACCCAAGACAAACCTTCCAACGTAGTACAAAATTATATTATTTGCGAAGGCAAAAACTAAATATGGTCCAATAAAAGGCACTGACAATACAATCAAGGTTTTTTTGGGGCCGATCAGGTCGTTTAAGTAGCCGAACATTAAAGGCCCTACAATGCCTCCAATGGTATATAAAGATGTTATCCAGCTAGCTTCGTTGTCTGTTATGGCCCGGCCCAAGGGACTCTCATCGGCATCTTCTAGTTTTGGCAGTTGCGAAGATGGCCATGATATGGATGTCCCAACGGAGATTGAAACGATGTTGACTGGAACAAAAAAAGTAGAGGATATATCGCAATACACTGTTTAAAAAATCTGTGGTGTAAAGAGTAATCTTAAAATGGTGTCAAAATCCAACACCAAGTGGTGTTAATATAACACCATGAATTATGGTTGAAAATGTTATATACAGCAAACACCAAAACGGTGTTTATCTAAAAATATTTGAGAAGTACACCTACACAAAAAAAAGGATAGTTCATTTAACTATATTAATTTAGTTGACCCATAAGTATTTATTTTTGTATTTTTTTTATTTTTATCAACTGTGGGAAGGTTAATATAAACAAAGATTAGTCTGACGGTACTAAACCAGATAGATATTTTTTTTTATTTATTTTGTTTTTTTAATTGGTTAAATTAACCCAGAAAACTTTAGTGAAACCAACCCGCTGTATGGTTCACTAAATATGTTGTTTGTAAAATAAGAGTTACTTTCATCTAAAGCACTCTGTTAAAACGATTAAAACAATTTGCCGTGCATTCCTGGTTGCATAGTGTGTACCGATCGCGGTAAAGGCGGTGTGGATCTCGTGATGTTCTTAAATCTCGCCTCTGTTGACTTACATGAAGAGTATATAAGCTTAGGTAGTCCAGCTGTCAATACTTGAAGTACTTTAAGTTAGTGGAACGCAATAAAAACATTATCTCTAGCGAGTTGAAGGTTCAATTTTCTGGAATAATACCACTGGTAATATACTAGTAATGCGTCAAGGAACTTCCTGTTTCCTTTTTCCTGTGTAGTAGGATTTAATTTGACCAAAAACACATAATATTTAACCGTTGAGTAGGATGTTACTCAATGATTTAACACTGAAAAGGAGTTCAATTTACACCAGGTAAAATTTATTTTAATACTGTGTAAAAGTTAAATTAAGTTAGTATTTGAATTTACACCGGACCAACGAACCATATTTAACACCATTTTGGTTTGTATCGATATAGACCATGTAGGGTGTTAATTTGGTGTTAAAATGGTCATAAAATTTTGAACAGTGTAAAAATATGTTCTTTCACGACTCGTGAATCACGAGAATAATTTTCAAAACTTAGCTAGAATAATACAAAAAGTGCGGGACGAGGTGGGATTTTTATTTATTCCTTCAGCAGGTTTCCACATTACCCAGGAGGTACTGCTCATTTTTACCTATCTTACAATAATTATTTTTAGATTAATAAAGGCACAACCGCACAACAACAAAATAATAATGTACAGCACAGTAGGTATATGAAACTCAACGATTTAACACTGAACTATAAAAAAAACATGAATATTTTTATTTATATTTTTTGTGATTTTTATTGTGGTATTTGTGTGATATTATAATAATTTATTAAAATAAAATTGATCTTTTATAATTATTTGAATTATTTTTACATGAATTCACAACACAATAATGTATTTTACGTTTGCATTTTTATCACAACTTTCCATTTTAACGCTAAGGCAAAGACTAAACAGAAATAAGAAACTATAAACACGCATAGATCTAATTAATAGGCTTTGTTTACTAAAACATTCCACGCCCGCCCAGTCTTTTACAACAACTGATAAGCGAGCCGCACAGATCTCGGGACTGACTCTGCTGTCTTCCATATACTGTGGTACAAGCCCAACTTTGTGGGCCTCAATGCCTACAAAAATTCGCGTATTATCCCCGCCTTGCGGGTGTGCCGGCTGCACCGTGCAGCGGTGGGGAGCATGATGTTGTATCGGCAATGTGTGACGTATATGAAGCGCAAATTTATGGGATTACTATTTCCCTACTATGCGGTCGGGCAATGATTTAAGCGTTTAGAATTTGGTTGGAAGGGGTGCGCGCTAAATTTAAAGGAAATATTTTAAACTTTAATTGTTATTCTATGTTTTGATAGTTTTAATGATTGGAAATTAGTTTTAAAACGTTTTATATTTAAATAAGTAATGCATCGAAAATTTCAAATTATATTATAGTTTTAACATGTGAGGCCCGGCCTCAGATGCTTTATAGGACGAGCCGCCACTGTGTTTCACATAACCGTCGTCCGTCGAGCAAATCCAATATTTGCGATCTTCTAAAAATTTAATTCAACTTTTAAGTAGCCAAAAAAAATGATTGAACAAATGTTGGGTTTTTTGTATTATAAAATTTAAATAGCCATTATTGTTAATGTTTAGGCTAAAAATAATAACTGAACGTTGTCCCAACGTTTTCTTCACATGACCGTAGAAGAACTTTTAGGTCGTCTATTTGCCGCTAGATGGTACTGCATGTGTAAATTAAAATATTTTATTATTGCAAAAGGCGACAGTTAATTGTGCAGTTCAGTTAGCGATATATTTACAGTTCCTGTCGTGTATTTCGATATAGAAAAGGTATATTAAAGTTCTTCGTATTTTTTTTTTATCAACATGACCGTCTATAGTGATAAAATAGCCACATAAATAGTTATAAATTGTCCGCCATGTTTTTTTTGTTGTCGGTTGTTTACAGGTGGAAACTCTAACCTAAAATTCACAACATGGGGATACTTTTAATTTTGAGCAATTACAAATGTGTGAAATCACATGAAAAAAAAGTATGCTACAGTCATGTTAAAAATTAGTTTATTTTTTATTTAAAAGCCTTCTAAGTTTTATTTTTATGCACATAAAGCACTTTCTTCATCATTCTGGCATATTTGATCAAGTTACCTAAAAGAAAAAAGTCAGTTGAACTAAATCCGAAACCAAATAAGCAAGTTTTGGTACAGTCCTATTCTGAAAATAAACATTTTACAATAAACGTTATATTGTCTTATTTTATTATTATTGATCATCATCTTATTTTGCTATATTTGATTTGCACTGACATGTTTTTATTACTTTATTATACCTGATTGTATTTGTTATTTATGACTGTACAATTAAATTGCATTACCGTTGTCCACTACTGTACCATTTGTTATTTAAATATTTTATTTACCACTGCCGTTTATTATTGTTGTTTGTTGCTGTAATAATTATATCAATATCAATACTTTTATAACTGTTTAATTATATATAATTAATAATATATTATTAATGTACAGTAGAAATAATATTAACTCTTGTATTAATTGCCTTTATTAATAAACTTTTTCTTAATTTAATACTTTTTCTTTGCTTTTTAAATATCTTTTGAATTGCTCAATTACTTACGTATCCAGAACCGGATTCACAACAAAAATGGGTCCTAATTTAATGTCTTTAGACGATCACGTGTTTTGGCCAAAGCTAGTTATTTTGTGGTTTTAATATTCGTTTCTTATTATTAACGTGCTTACCAACCCCCTATAAATTGTTGTGATAATTTGATACTCATACATTTGAAAATTATTATTTGACAAAAAACACTCAAAACATATGTACCTATAACGTAAAACGTACAATTATAATTAAATTCAATAAATCTGAATACAGAGTATCTCTGTATTCAGAGGTTAATGGCCTTTAGCTTTTTTATAAGCTATTTGGCCAGCTCATTACGTACAATTATAATAATTATTAAAAGTAGAAAGTGAGGTTATACGAGGTGTGTTCAGAAAATATCGGGAATTTTCGTTTTTTGAAACAAATATTTATTTATTCGTCTACATTAATGTTGTCGCCTTCAAAATAGTCCCCATTGGATATTATGCACATGTGCCAGCTCTTCTTCCAATACTCGAAACTCTTCTAAAACTCGATCTTTGGGATAGCCTTTCAGCGATGCCCTTTTAATGTCATCTATGCTTGCAAAACGACGGCCCTTTAAGGTTCTCTTTATTTTTTGGAATAGGAAAAAGTCAGACAGAGGCATGTCTGGCGAATATGGAGGCTGGGGCATCATTACAGTATTGTTTTTGGACAAAAATGTTGTTCAAAATTTAAAAATTTTAAAACAAATTTTGCTGCCACGCGTTTTATACCCAAAACATTCGAAAATGGGATGAGCCAATCGATATACCAACATCATCAGCGACTTCTCTGATGGTTTATAACCATTTCTTCCACTTTTTCCATGTTTTTATCGGTTGTTAATGCGCTTGTGCGTTTGGGGCAGACTCACTATAGGCCTTTGTTAACATTTCACAGAATTTATTTAATTTTTTAAGCAAAATTGTATACAAATACTTTGATCCATATCTTTTAACGAACGAAAAATCGCCGAGCTCATAAAACACGTCTAACCTTAGCGGCTGCCACAGACAAAGTAAACAATGAAAACAGCTAAAGTTTTTATCATACTTCGGGGGCATGTATACCAACATAATAAAGAAAATTTTATGACAACCGGACCCTCCGAACCGGTGAAATTTAACAATTCCCGTTATTTTCTGAACACACCTCGTATGTAGATCTTACAATAGTCGAATTATTTTATTGGTTCAAACGAGTTTTTACCCGATTGGTCTAAATTATTTAGGAGGTTTTTTGATTAAAGAAAAATCATTTATTGCAATAAGATGGCCAAATAGGGCAAATATAAAGTGAAAATTGAGATATGCAATTGTTTTCTGCATGCACATGGGTACACATAATAAAGTTTTATTGGGCAATCGAATAATTTAAGCTCATAAGGCAACATTAAGTCAATAATAACTTTATGTTAATATTAAAGAAATATAATATATATTTATATATGATAAGTTATCATTAATAACAGAACTACCATTTTTTTAAGTAAAAAAATATGTTTTTTAAACGTTGATTATGCCAGGTTTTATGTAATTAATGTTATATATTAAAATGGGTAAAAAAAAATAAAACTGAACAATGAATTGAATTTCATTGATTAAAGAAAATAAACGAAAAAATACTGTCAGTTGGGACCTTTTTGCAAAAGGGAGTCTATTGAAAATATTTATTTACAAAATATTGAATGATTATTAAATTTAAAATACAAAATTTTAATTTGGTAAAACTATGTAGGTATGTGTCAAATAAAACGATAATTATGTTAATACAACACCAAAGGTGTTTTTTGCGGCCCGCTTGAATATTCTT